GATGGTTGGATGGCGATTGGATGATGGTTGGATAGTGGTTGGATGATGGTTGGTTGGTGGTTGGATGATGGTTGGATAGTGGTTGGATGATGGTTGGATGGCGATTGGATGATGGTTGGATAGTGGTTGGATGATGGTTGGTTGGTGGTTGGATGATGGTTGGATGGCGGTTGGATGTTCTGTATTTCCTGCTGAATCTCAGACAAACAGAACTCTGCAGGTTAAAGTCCAGCAGTTTTACCCTGAAGGCAGCGACAGGTTTCAGGTCCTGAAATGAAAAGTGAAAATGAGCAGCATCAGAGGAAGAATCGTTTCTCCTCCACTCAGCTTGGAAACATCAGCAGACTGATTAGCTAAACTATGTATTATTCATGTTTGGGTTTAAAGACATTTCCACCAATAGTTATTTATATTTAAACCATGTGTAACTATGACAACGAGGCATTAAGCATTAGGCAGCATTGTCCTATCTGCCTCAGTGTTAAATGTACAGGTAAAGGCAGCCTCTGTAAAAATGGCACTAAGTCTAAAAATGAAGAAACCATGAAACTGCGTCAGCAGTCGACATTTACAGAAACGATCTTTGTGTCTAAAGCTCCTCTATGCTTTAATGTAGCTGGAATAATTGTCCTTCCTTTATCAGTCAGAGGTGTGCGCTACATTAGAAAGTCCTTCCTCAGAGATCTGATGCAGTCGACAGCTTATTTAGCAGGAACGTGTAAAAGGCTGAGCGCAGCTGTCTGCATGGATAAGGCTGCTAATGTTTGATGTGTCTCACTGTCTTTAACATAAACATTTACAGCTGCTTCAGATTCCTGCACATGTTGGAAAGCCCATTATAGAGTCGTTTTATAAAAAACAAAAACATGTTGTGACAGCGTAGAAGATTCAAGTCAAAAGAATTTCATGATTATATTCCTGACATGGAGACATTTTTTTTAAGTGTGGCTCTGAAAATATCCACAAAATGGAGAAAGGACGTTTGTTTGAGGAAAGCAGACAGATGGTTTGAGAGAGGCGTGAAGGAAGCCATCTATGCCCCCTCATTTTAAACTAATCCTCAACTATTTTGCATACCCAGATGAAAAAGCAAATAACTTAGGAACCATTGGCTGACAGGCAAGGAGCGCTTGGGAGACTTTATCAGCTGTCCCTGACTCACATCATAGTCATTCAAAGATGCTTTTGTCTTGTAGGTAAGAAAATGATGTAAAGAACCATACCGAACACAGCAGGCTAACAACTGAGGAAATAAGTATTAGAAAGTAAATATTAGCAATAGCTATGACCAGCTAACTTTTTTGATGTCAAAAACTGGACGCTAAGTGGCGATTTTCTCATCATGGAATATTTTCAATATCAATATTCTGGATTACTTTGAATCTGTGGATCCTTACAGACGAATGGAGTTTAAGCAATTGAAGACTGGATTTATAATAGAGGTGGGCGGATCGATCCCAGGATCGATACTATCGATACCAACGCTGGTATTTATATTGAACAATATTCGTTTAACAAGATCGATACTTTTTATCCTCTCTCGCGCGCGCTGACTGCTGCGGAGTCACCAGTTTCCCCATATGTGTAACAGCACTTTGCTCCCCCTCCCCTCTCCTACAGTCACATGGCTCAGCGGCGCCAGCCAATCAGCGCGCAGGCTTAGCTTGGCCTGCCCACTCAGCACTACGTCACACAGACAACCGCGCTGCCGGTTGCTGGGTGAGTGCTCACTCAGACTTGGATGGAGAGAGAGACCAAAGACCCGCCTCCAGCCTCAGACAGACATCTTTGACCCAAGCGTTTCAGTCCTCCAGAGAATATCCAGGTAGATAACAGTGGTCATCGTCTGCAGCACTTCATTATACATCATATATTACTCAGAAAGTGTAGTTAAGACCTTGAAAAAACCCAGTACATTTATCCCATTAAAAATTGTTAGCTAAAATAAGCTAACATTAGATAATCTCTTATTTATTCCACGATTGAGAACTTTATAGAAAAAAAGCAACAGGCAAGTGCAGCTTAAATGTAAAAAGTATCGGTATCGGTATCGATATCGGCGATACTGACCCAGTATTTACTTGGTATCGGATCGATTAAAAAATCCCGGTATCGCCCACCTCTAATTTATAAAATGGCTTCTGGTATGTAGCATGTGTCACTGGAGCAGCATCTGTCCAACATCTGTCTCACTGTTAGCACTGTTAGCATGCTGCTTTGTTTGCTTCCAGTCTTTGAAGCTTTTTGTGAGCTATGGATGAACATTTATAGGCTGAAAGCCTTTTGTTTTTTTTTGTTTTTTTTTTAGTTTAGTTTTTTTTTAATTCTCTTTATTGAAATATCACATCATCATAACAAAGATGGTTACAATATTACAACAAAAAAACATTTTTTTTTCCTTTTGTACAATCTGTTTTTCTATTCAGTACAGCTCGCCCATCGAACATAGGTACAAACATAGAACCTGAGGTGTTTTTTCATTTTTGTCAAGAGTAAAGGGGGTTGTTTGAAATTAAATAGACAAAGTTTCAAAAATAATTGAAAATTGATTCAATTAGATAAAGGAAGGGCACCTTGAAGAATTGTACGTTTTCCATAAATTCCAATTGTCTTCAAATTTTGATTTCTGTAACCTGATGGAGAAAGTAATTCTTTCCATTATGAATATTTTGTAGATTATACCATACCAGTCCTCGATGGATGGGCTGCCTGGTTTTAGCCATTTCTTGGTGATTGCTTTCCTGGCTGCTACACTCAATATTCCAAATAAATATTTAGTCTTTGTGTTTGTCGATATTGAGTGTGATATTCCGAAAAAAAGTTCCTCCCAGTTAAAATCAGTTTTTGATCCAAATATAATATTATATATAAATTTTTTGCCAGAATACAGATACAACTGGGCAACCCCAAAAAAGGTGAAAATGATTGGCTTCCTCTGAGCCACATTTCCTCCAGCAGCTGGATGAGCCTGACTGATGGGAACTCTGGGCTGGTGTAATAAAGTACCTACAGATATTTTTCCAGGCAAAGGTTCTCCATGAGGTTGAGTTTGATATCTTTCACTGAAATTCACAATATTTAAGCCATGTTTGTTCAGGAATAGTCTTGTTTGTCTCTTTGTCCCACCTTTGTTTGATATACATTGTGTTTGTCAATTTTGTTTCCTGTAATCCATTATACAGCCTTGAAATGGTTTTGAGTCCAGAATTCTTTGCATACGCACAAACAAACACTTTCAATAATTCATTATCAAACACTTGCTGGACATTTGGGATTAAGTTATTTATATGGTGTCTTACTTGAAGGAATCTATAAAAATCCCTGTCCTTTAATCCAAACTGTCCTTTTAGAGATTGAAAGTCACTCTAAATGCCCTGTGTGAAAAAAGTACACTATGATGTGAGACCTTGTTCAGCCCATTTCTTAAAAGTCACATCTTGCTTATTTGGGGTTGAAAGCCTGTTGGATCTTTATCTAGGACTCTTATTTTGAAGTAAGACAGGAAGTAGTTTCTGAAACTCAGGTTAACAGATGCATAGAAGAAGCCACACTGCTTTTAAACTGCTTATGGGTTGGTTGGAATTGGGATTCCTATTTTTCTGCAGAGCCGTTCTCCTCATAGGTGCACACAGTAGTTCAGCTGATTGTCAGTCCCTGGATCTATGAACCATAACATCTCTGGGTCCGGGTCCAGGCTTGGGTCTGGATCTGCTGCTCTGACCTTAATGCTGCGTTCAGACTGCAAACGCTGGAAGCAGCTTTATTTCTGCTGCTTGTCCACATTAAGGTCAGCCGTCCAGTAAAGTGAGTCCAGATGCATCAGATGCTTCTGATGCATCTGCTGTTCGATGCCAGAGAGCAGCTTTGCTATATTAGCTGTGATCAGCGGGTAGAAAGTAGTTAGAATCTATGTTGAAGTGAGAAAGTCCTCCTGAAAACATGGTCTGTGCAGTCAGTTCATCCAGATTGCCATCCTGCCTTCAAAGATTATTTCTCTGTGGGAGTCGCTCAGACCCCCACATACCGGCGCTGCGCTGTCACTGGGAATCCCCAGCAGCAGCTGCCTCAGGCCCGCTCGCCTCTCCAGGGTTTTCCCCTCCTGTTGGTGGCGGCTGGAAGTAGATGTTAGCGTTTTTCAGGTCTGTGCTACAAACTGCAGGCAGCAGGATAATAAAAGCCAACATAGTCTGCCTGCAGGTTTCTATTTGAAGTTAATTTAGGCGTTAATAATAATTCAGAGGAGTGATCATAGCGCTCTGCATCAGCAGTGCTGCGTCTGACTCCCTGCCAGCTCCCAGATCAGCTTCTCTGATTGGTTGATGCGGCGCGTGGAGCACCAACAATGAAACTTCTCCATCTCCAGCAGATGTTGCGAGCATCAGATGCTCAGAAGCTCATGAGATGCTGCTTTTTGCAGCGCCTTGATACGAATCAACCACTGACTGCATGTAAACTAGCTGCTTCTGCTGCCTCTAGCGCATGCGGTCTGACTGTAGTATAATTCTCCACCAATCTGAGACTCCATCATGGTTAAAGGGCAGAACACCAGAGGTATGGAGGAAGCACACTCGACTAGGATGTGTATTCAACTGAATTACTGAGGACATGGATTTACTCCCTTGCTTGTTTAGGTGGAGTCCTCTCGGCTGTGGTCAGCGCTGTTTGTGCAGGACGCCGTGTGTTTGGGTCAGACTGAATTATTCAGGGCTCTGTCTGCCTCTGCTGCTGCAGCCTCCATTATTAATGTTCTGGGATGCCACACATTCATGATATGAAGCCAATGAAGACCTCAGGGATTCATGCACACCTTGTTTTAATTCCAGTCCGGTCAGGCACAGTCTGAGCATCAAGCTGTGGTTCCCAGCCTCAGCACTGGGACTGCTGTCAGTGAGGCGGTCACAGACTCATCATTACGCTGGTTCATTAGCAGACGCATGCAGGACTGGAGTAAGACGTTACGTCAGACATGGTTCTGAATCTTGTTTAATTTTTCTCCCCAGTTCTGAGGGATGACTTCCGTCAGACTCCCAACGACGTGGTGGTAGCAGCGGGCGAGCCCGCCGTCATGGAGTGTGTTCCACCCAGAGGCCATCCTGAGCCCACCATCTCCTGGAAGAGGAACAACATCCGGGTCAACGACCGCGATGAGAGGATCACTGTAAGCACACTCCACAGAGAACGTTCTAGAGGATGTCAATGTGTGGATTTCTGCTTTAACGTTTAAATGTCAGCTCTATATAATAAATATAGAGCTTGGTGAGGATCCAGACGGCGTCCCGTATCTCCACTCATCACGCTGCGCCCACACACTGCCCACTTTAAAACCATTTCCATGGCGATTGTCCTCCAGCTGGAATGGTTGTTGAATGATGTTGGCGGTTTGTCGCTAAAGATGACTGAGCGGCTTCACTCCTCACTAACATGCTTCACTATCCCGCCTCCTCTCTCCTTCCATTTGTCCTCTCTTCATCCCGTCCTCCATGACTCCTTTATCCTCTCGCTTCCTTCTTTATGTCCTTCTGACCTCCACCCTCCATCGTTTTCAGATCCGAGGAGGAAAGCTGATGATTTCCAACACCAGGAAGAGCGATGCTGGCATGTATGTGTGTGTGGGAACAAACATGGTTGGTGAGAAAGACAGTGATCCAGCTGAACTGGTCGTGTTCGGTGAGTCTGATTCACACTCCGCCCTGTTCTCATCCACTGAACTCAGTACTTAGAAACTGTTTCATCTGGACTGTTCACTTCCTTCCTTCCTTCCTTCCTTCCTTCCTTCCTTCCTTCCTTCCTTCCTTCCTTCCTTCCTTCCTTCCTTCCTTCCTTCCTCCCCCTCCCTTCCTTCCTTCCTTCCTCCCCCCCCCTCCCTCCCTCCCTCCCTTCCTTCCTTCCTTCCTTCCTTCCTTCCTTCCTTCCTTCCTCCCTCCCTCCCTCCCTCCCTCCCTCCCTCCCTCCCTCCCTCCCTCCCTCCCTCCATCTTCCTTCCTTCCTTCCTTCCTTCCTTCCTTCCTTCCTTCCTTCCTTCCTCCCTCCCTCCCTCCCTCCCTCCCTCCCTCCCTCCCTCCCTCCCTCCCTCCCTCCATCTTCCTTCCTTCCTTCCTTCCTTCCTTCCTTCCTTCCTTCCTTCCTCCCTCCCTCCCTCCCTCCCTCCCTCCCTCCCTCCCTCCCTCCCTCCCTCCCTCCCTCCCTCCCTCCCTCCCTCCCTCCCTCCCTCTTCCTTCCTTCCTTCCTTCCTTCCTTCCTTCCTTCCTTCCTTCCTCCCTCCCTCCCTCCCTCCCTCCCTCCCTCCCTCCCTCCCTCCCTCCCTCCCTCCCTCCCTCCCTCCCTCCATCTTCCTTCCTTCCTTCCTTCCTTCCTTCCTTCCTTCCTTCCTTCCTCCCTCCCTCCCTCCCTCCCTCCCTCCCTCCCTCCCTCCCTCCCTCCCTCCCTCCCTCCCTCCCTCCCTCCCTCCCTCCATCTTCCTTCCTTCCTTCCTTCCTTCCTTCCTTCCTTCCTTCCTTCCTTCCTTCCTTCCTCCCTCCCTCCCTCCCTCTTCCTCCCTCCCTCCCTCCCTCCCTCCCTCCCTCCCTCCCTCCCTCCCTCCCTCCCTCCCTCCCTCCCTCCCTCCCTCCCTCCCTCTTCCTTCCTTCCTTCCTTCCTTCCTTCCTTCCTTCCTTCCTTCCTTCCCTCCCAGCGTCTATCTCTGTGTTAGAGACTCTGACTCGGTCAGATCATGATGAAACACCGTATCTTGGTTCCAATAAAGGAATAATAGAGGTGGAGCACTCTGGCAGCTCACCAGTCCGCCCAGTCTGCTGAGACCAGTTAGTCTCTGGAACAGCGTTATACATCTATCCAATAAGACTAGAAGTTCCTGAGAAGCTCTGGTGTGAATAACCTGCTCTGTGCTGGCGTGCTGTCCACTCCGGGCAGACCGTGCTCCTCCTGAGGCTCTCTACTGACCCTGCAGGAGAGGCTGTCTCTGTGTTTGCACCAAACCAAAGGTCCAGCAGATCTAAGCACCTGTCTGATTTCAGAGAGACCCGTCTTCACCAGACAGCCATCCAACCAGGTGGTGTTGGCAGACGACACGGTGGAGTTCTTCTGTGAGGTTCATGGAGATCCCACTCCAACCGTCCGCTGGCGGAGGGATGAGGGGGAGTTGCCCCGGGGCAGGTACACAGGAAGCAATCAGAGATTCATCCCATATTCACATCTCATTTAGAAATCATCTGTAGACCTTCTTCTCCCTGGTTTCTGTTGAAAAATCAAGCTGTGTTGATGTGTTCAAAGGTTTGAGATCCGCAGCGACAACAGTCTGCGTCTGAGCCAGGTGCGAGCTGAGGATGAGGGCACCTACACCTGCGTGTCGGAGAACAGCGTGGGCAAAGCAGAGGCATCTGGAACCCTCCAAGTACACGGTAAGACCTCGTACTGGTGCCTCTCTCTGACATGCACTTATTGACTCTGCAGCAATCCCTCGCACAAAGCATGCATGTAGCGACAGTGGAAAGGAAAACTCCCTTAACCAGCTCCACAGGCGGCCCCGTCCAGGCAACACACAGCCAGGCAGACGAGCTCCGAGCCAGCTCCCATGTCAGAGGATGAAGAGAGCACATCCAGTTAGTCACAGTCAGAGAAACAGGACTACACTGAAAAACAGGCCAAGCTCCAACATCTAGAAACAAAGGTGTTGATGGCAGCAGCACAGCTGATATTTCTCTCCAGGATGGAGTCACAGCCAAACAGGAACAGACCAGATGAAGCTACTATGAGAAAAAGCAGAGAGAGCAGAACGTTAGAGATTGAACTAACAGATTCTGCAGAGTGGGAGAATAGAGATAGAATGAAGCAGAATGATGAAAAAGGGGTCCCTATGTCCTCCAGCAGTCTAAGCCTATAGCAGCATCACTATAGAGATAGCTCAGGATAACCTGAGCCACTCTAACTATACTGTTCTGCTAGGATTGTACAACATTTTTTTTTTTTACCCTAACCCTAGCATCTAGAATAGGGAGCTCAGGTTTAAATCTTCACTGCTCCTCCAGGAAGAATAAGGAATGTTTATTTTTCCCTGACTGGTTTGATAGATGGGATATATTGTTCGTTTTTTCATCCTTAGATCTTAAAACTGTTTAAGTTTTGGCTGTGACTCCATCCTGGAGAGAAATATCAGCTGTGCTGCTGCCATCAACACCTTTGTTTCTAGATGTTGGAGCTTGGCCTGTTTTCCAGTGTAGTCCTGTTTCTCTGACTGTGACTAACTGGATGTGCTCTCTTCATCCTCTGACATGGGAGCTGGCTCGGAGCTCGTCTGCCTGGCTGTGTGTTTCCTGGACGGGGCCGCCTGTGGAGCTGGTTGACAGTTGCCTTTTGTATCTATGCTTCTTTTTCTATGTCTGCTTCTGTCTCCTTGAACCCCAGTGGGCCTCAGCAGATGGCCGCTCACACTGAGCCTGGTTCTGCTGGAGGTTTCTTCCTGTTCAAAGGGAGTTTTTCCTCTCCACTGTCGCTTCAAGCATGCTTAGTGTGAGGGATTGCTGAAGAGTCAATGAGTCGATGCAATCAGCTGGTTTTCCTTACATAGAAAACTTTGAATCAATCTGACTGAATGATCTGGTGAACTGGAAAGTGAGCTGAGATGACATGATGTGAATTGGAGCTATAGAACTAAACTGAATAGAATTAAAAGGTGCTATATATAATCCACTGGTTACTCACTGTGAGGGTCAACTAAAAGGCAGATAAAGAGGAAAAAATGGATTTTAAGATCCTTTCAAGCCTGGACTGTACATCCCTGAGGAGAGAGAATGAAGATCAAAACGCTGCGAAATTGGCTGAGAATAAAGGCAGTCCCTTGAAGAGAAGCATGCGGATGAGGAATCTGTCATTTGCTGTGATAAAAGGGAATATTTAGCAGTTTTACTCAGTGCAGACACAAGCCTCTACCCACAGCACTGACTGACAGACACGTGATGCACTACAGCACCATAACGTTAAGAATGCTTGGAGGACCAGAGCGGCGGAGGAACAGCTGCTCAGTAAACAATGAAGCAGTAGAGGTTTGTCTTCCCAGCAGCGGCTTTTAGCCAAATAGAAATTGATTGTGGGTTATTGTCAAAGGCTGGGAGGAACGATGCACGCCCACACATGATGGAAAGGAGCTCACACACCCACTGATCAGAGTGACTCCAATGTCCAGGTCATCATCCCCCTACATTTTAACTTTGTGAAATAATAATTTTCTGTTATATCATTACACTTTTAAACATTGGTTGGCTTTTAAGCTGTAGAGTCTGATCTCTGAGGGTTTATGTGTATAAAAACATGTGCAAATATGTTAGCATGGAGAAAGCTGATCTACAAGACGTAGTGTAAGATGTATTGCATGGCTAACACAGGAGAAAATAGGATGCTAACCTTTTAGCATCTGCACGGCCATTTATCCAACCTGAGAGATTCTGGGTGCAGAGCCTTGTTTTTCATTATAATCCTAAACTCCTCATTAAAAACGGCAGATTAAACGCTGGAGGATCCAGATCTGCTCGGGTCCGGTGCAGGCCGCTTTATGATTGGCTAATGATGTAAAACACTGTGGTTGCCCAGACAACAATTCTAATATAACTAGAGCTGAAACAATTAACTGTGAAATCAATTATTGAAATAATCATCAGCTAATTTAGTCATCAATTAATCGTTAACTGCAGTATAGAGACTGTAAACCTGCCTTTAGCTGACAGGCGACTCACTTAGAGCAGGAATTAAACAAAGATTGTAAAAGTTATAAATGCATTTGAAAAATGTTTTCTTCGGTCAATTTGCTCTATAATCCAGAACTAGAAAAGTTTTAGTTTCACCTGGTTTAATGACATAAAGTTATCTTCTTTACGGAACCTTTGGTTATCTGATTATTAATCAATTAATTGCAAAAAAAAATATCAACAGCAGCCCTAAACATAATCCCTCGACCGTGTGCCGAGTCAGGAGCATCGGTAGCGTTAGCATCTAATGACAGATGAAGGTTTACCTGATTGATAACAAAGCTGAAAATATCTGCTTTTGTTTAACAAAGTAACTGTTAGATTGTGATATAAAGAGCTGGGTAGCGCTGTGGCTAGCTGTAGCTAACAGGTTAGCCTCTTTTAGCTTGGTCAGTTAGCCATATGGGCTATAAAAATAAAATGCATGTGCAAGATGTGTTTAAAAGTTGCTGTTCTCATAGCTCATACCAGCGTACTGTGTCCTACCATCCGCCCTAACCTCTAAATCCCTCCATCACCATGTAGAGCGGGGGCTATATAGTGAACTTTATGGTGAACTCAGCTAACTGACCGTTCAGACAGATGATCACTGCTTTTTGCTCCGTTGGTCACGTAACTCCTGTGGCGGTGCCTGCGCCATCTTTGTTATTAGTCGCCACTGTCAGGTAGCGACAGCGGGCCGCTGTGACAGCAAATCCCATAATGCTTTGCAGGGAGAGCTCTCCACGCAAAGCATTATGGGATATATCTGCCTCTTATGAGGCCTTTCCTTTCTTCTCATTTACTTCGTAGACACTTTTTCTCTTCCGACCCCCCGACCTTTACCGTATATCACCACCTGATATATACCGCATATATCAGGCGTATATCACCACAGATCTACGCCTGAAAGAAAAACACATCACCAGAATGATTGACAATTAGGAGGACCAATTATTACGATGATCCACCCGGAAATAAAAGATCCTCCTCTATACCTTTAATATGCAAAATGTATACATGTATTATTTTTTTAGTGAATTATTATAACATTTTACAATTTTAATATAATTCCTGCTCTAAGTGGGTCACTCTGTCAGCTAAAGTTTTATAGCGTCTAAACTCCAGTTAAGGATTTATAGATTACTCAATTAGTTCAATAATTCGATAATTTGAATAATTGTTTCAGCCCTAAATTGAATTCTCGTCTATCAGTAACAACTTCCACACTGAAGAGAGCTCTGTTGACTGGAATAAGATGTGTTTACTGATTGGAAGAATGTAGGATTTTTCAGTTTGACTCAGGGGGATATTGGGCTCATCCTGGTCAGCCGACGGTTTCTCCTCACATCTCTCATTTCATTCATTGTCAGGAGTCACTTCCAGCTCTTCATCTCATTTGTCTCACTTCTCTTCTCTCCCCCCCTCCCCTCCCCCTCCCCCCTCCATCGCATGCAGCGGGCCGCTCATGTAAGTATCCCATTTCATTCCCCAGCTTGTTTCTGTGTGAGCGATGCTGTCATGTTTCAGGCAGCCTCCACCAACACTGACGCTCATCTGCCAGAGAGGAAAATCAATTAGCAGGGAAGCTCTCCTATGACAAGGAAGGAAGGCTTTTTATTTTCACTGTTCTCATGTTGCATTATCTGAAGACTGAACCTTGGGAAGCAGAGAACAGGGCCTCCATTAATACCCGAGATCTTTAATTTGCCATCCAAACACTCAGCCTTAGTCCCATCAATTAAAAGGAGGCGACGCTGCTGCTGCTGCTGCTGCTGCAGTTTAATTCTGATTAATCCAAAGAGCTCGAAGAATTCAATTTGGTCTCCGGATTGAAACCCATGGATGTGGAGGGGATGTATGTGTGCTAATGCAGTTCTGTTCATGATATCTCTGTTTGAGCGGAGCCTCGGCTTTAGGCTCCCTGCGTGTCGAGTAGCGCTCCTAGAAGATAAGCGTGTCGCCGAGGTCAGGAGGTCAAACTGAAAGCCTTCTGCTGGAGGTATAACAGGATGCATAAAGTAAACGCTTTCAGTTATACTAAAACAGTTAAAATCAATCCACTGGACTTTGTTTCCAAGTTTGAAGACGTTTCTCTTCCATCCAGGAAGATTTTTCAAATCAAAATGTCAGAAATAGCGTTTAGTTCCAGGTTTTATCCAGCAGCCCAACAAAGCCTGGTTTTTGTTTAGAAAACATGCAAATAGAAACGGATGAACGGGTCCCCCCCTTTGGAATGGGGGTCGTTTGGCTTCTTTGTTAGCCTGCAATGCCCCATACCTGTCTATGTCTCTGAAAGGGGGGCGTTAAAGGGAATTGTTGGCCTGGCTGAATAGGAAAGGTCTTCTGTTCTCCTGTAAAGGGGTTGGGGCTGCGATGCTAGCGGGAAGGAATCAACTCTTATCGCTGCTTTGGAGGTTTTTGAAGCTAAAATCTGAGACCATCCTCTCTGTTTAAGGTTAGCTTTTCTCTCTTAGCATCGATGGCTTCCCTTCTTCCCTGTTCATCAGTTTCATTTTCTATGTTTTTTAAACAAAAACCAGGCTTTGGTGGGCTACTCTATAAAGCCTGGAACTCAATGCTATTTCTGACATTCTGAAGGAAAAATCTTCCTAGATGGAAGAGAAACGTCTTCAAACTTGGAAACAAAGTCCAGTGGACTGTTTTTTTAACTTTTTTGGAATGTCTATGACCTGCACTGCAAAACCGATCTAAAAATAAGTCCAAATTTCTTAAATTAAGTGTATTTACTTAATTTGAGTATCTAAATAAGACTATTTGCCAATGGAATGAGTATTTTTACTCTTAAAGTGAGATTATTTCATAAAATGCACTTGAAATAAGACAATGTGATTTTCTCTTATTTTAAATAAGAGAAATAATCTGGTTCCATTTGCAAAATGTCTCACAAAAGAAAAAATGACTCATTTAGATAAACATTTTTGCAGTGTGGATGACTGAGAATCGTCACCAGCACGCTTTCAGTTATAACGTTAAAGCTCCTCGGTTAAAGCTGAAGTGAAGCTGCTCTCAGTGTGAATAGACGGTCGGCTGCAGCTCAGCTGAATGTCGCTCTAAATGTCGGACGTCTTTATTTTCTATGACTGCGGCTGCTGAATGGTTTTTCCGTGTGAGTTTACGTCCCTGAAGCTGCATGGACAGCTGGACGAATCCACGTAGACCTCCTCTAGCTGAGCTCCTCTCACCGACGGGTCATCCTGGATCGCTGACCGCCTCCTGTTCACACAGAGCAAAGACACCAAAGATTCATCACAAAGCTTTCCTTCGTCACACGTCCTCTGAGATGAGCTGAAACCAACAAATGCATCCAGGGACAAACTGAAAAACAGAGATTCCCTCTTTTTTCAGCAGATGGCCGTCTGCACTAGGGCAGGGTAATTAATTGCATTTGCAATATAGTTGCAATTAAAAAAATAATAATTTTGACATTGCAGAGGCCCTCAATTTTGATTGACAACACATTCAACAAGAATATGACCCTAAATTTCTCCTTAAAGCCTTTAGGGGGCAGTAATACGATTAAAGTGTGTATGAGCCGCACTGAAGGGAACAGAGAGTTGCAGCTAGAACGTAGATCTATGCTTTATAGTAAAAGAAATAACTTTTTCATGCAAATATTACAGCAAAGTCCTGCAACACAATCAGGCTTTCAAAGGTCCTGAAAAAACTGAAACATCAACATGCTTTGTGCAAATGCCAAAAAATCGCAATATTGTTTGAAAATAGTCGCAATTTTGATTTTTGGTAAAAATCGTTCAGGAATAGTCTGCACTACCGTCCAGATGTTCCAGATAAAAAGCTGACTCCCCCACGACAAAGCTGACATGGAGAAAGACAGCCCAGAGCATGACGCTGTCGCTACCGGGTTCCACTGTAGGCCTGGATGTTTTCTGTTGGTTCTCAGGGCTGGTTTTCCATATAAACATACTGGTTTCTGCAAAGTCAAGGACTGGATGCAATCAGCTGGTTTTCCTCAGACCAATAACTTCAATCTGATTGGACGACAGGTCAATCAGAGCCTTAACACCTGAGCTGAACGCTTTGATCTTATTAACTGAAAAGTTATTAAATGATAGTGCGCATTCAGCGTCTGCTCTGCCGATAATGCAAGCGTAGAAGAAGAAATGTGCTGTTTACCTGTGCAAAGAAAGAAACAACGAAAGAAAAATGTCTGAGGACTTCAGTGTTGAGGAAGAGCATGAGTTCTTTGCCGAGCTGAATGCGCTGGTTTGGTCTGCCGGCTTCCGTAGCGTCGTGAACGTGCAGGTGCGTGCTTTCAGGAAGTCCTATACACTACTGTTTATGCTCTAAAAACATTCTAAATGACTTCGTTTCGAGTAAATTCTGGACGCTACCCACTCAGGACACTTGGAATACATTGGACGAGCAGTATGGAGGAATATTGACACGTTTTTTGTGGACTTTTATGGACCTTTCTGTCTCGGGCGCCATAGACCTCCATTATTTGAATGTCAGCAGACAGCAAGAAGCCTCCCAGATCTCCAGATGCATTTGAGATATCAAAAAAGTACTCCAGAGTGTTGTTCAGCATGGGGGTGAGTAGAAAATGAAGGCTAATCATGTTTTGGGTGTACTATTCCTTTAATTGGTTAAAAAAAGAATAATTTTCATCGTGATCACTGAGTCTGGGAGCGGCCATTTTATCCCAAATATAGTAGCCCCTCCCTCCTGCCATCTTCCAGCAGTGACATCACGGTGCGGTAAGCCTAGCGCCATTCTCCCCGCTTTACAAGCTAAATCAATGGGAACTACTAGACACATCTGCAATCAACAACAATTATTGAAGATTTCCAGAGGACTTCACCATTGAAATTCACCAGAGCTATAGTGAAACTGACAATGCCCACGTGCATGGCAGCTGGATGCTGGAATACATCGGGTAAAAGTGAAAAAAAAGAGTTATTCCACCTTTCTGATTCCTGATCCTCCACGGACGGGTTGGTCGTTGGATCGCCAACTTGAAGAGGGAGGATTTGCCATCGAACTTCTGGCCAGAGAAAAAACCCGTAATATGTAGCCAACATTTGGAAGAAGAATGTTTTCAAGATGACTTGGATAATAGCGCGTTGTGACAAACACCAGATACAGCACTGGGACTTGATCAACAGCCGATACCGCACCGTGACGTCACAAACCAGTAGGTGGCAGTAGTGTTCTTTGACAAACATGGATGCCTCCAGTAAAGCACATTCACATGAAAATTACTCTGGATTAAAAACACTGATCATTTATTGAACAGGATGGAATAATTTTATATTTAAAGGACTTTCAGAAGTTTGTATTCTAAATATAACCGGACTTTTCCTTTAAAATGTCTGTGAGTCTTAGATACAGTATTTGATGAAAACTGTTGGAGGCTTTTGTTGGTCCCTCATTGTCTCCGCTGTTCTCCATCATTCAGACAGTCAGGTGAATTTAACTCTTCTGCTGAAGCTTCAGCTCTGGGATGTAAAACAGGAAAGCTGCAGGAAGCGGCTGTGAGGACAGCTGCATGCTGGACGGTCAAAGCAGCTAATGCACTGGAAAAAATCTACATCTATATAAGTCATTTTTTTCTTAAAATAAGTGCATTTGTTCTTGAATTGAGAAGGTAAAAGAGACATTTTGCCAATGGAACAAGACAATTTGCAGTCAAAATAAGAAGACAGAATTGCATCACTTTTTTTTCAAGTGCATTTTATCTAAATATCTTATTTTAAGAGTCAAATACTCATTCCATTGGCAAACTATCTAATTTACCTACTCAAATTAAGGGTAATACACTTAATTTAAGACATTTTTACTTATTTCTAGATCGTTTTTACAGTGTGTGTTCTTCTTGATTCCACACTTCTCTGTGTTTCCTGTTCAAATCCAACATATTTGTTGCAGTAAAAGTGAAAAAAAAACATTTGAAATGATTGATCTATTTTTTCTAATCAGACTTTAAACTTCTGAAAAATTTCCTTTTAGTGTGTTTTCATCCCTAATGATGAAAGCATGAATGCAGAAAAGGCCCAACAGTTCAGAGATTACTAAAGTGCAGCTTCAGCCGGGATCCAGATGAATCCTCTAATCCTCCACTTGATTGAACTCATGTGCCTCTGCATGGATCACAGACTGCTGGCAAACCCTTCGCTTTCACCCGACAGACTGACTGATTTGTTTGTCTTTAGGAATAATAAAGCATTTTAATATGAACTTTTAAAGACCACTGATGCTTTGATGCTTTGTGTTTCCCCGAGGTGCTGTGATTTCAGATCCTGCTTCTGCAGCTTTTCTGGCCTGTTTCTAACTCCTGTATTGGTGTTGAATGGACGAGTCGGAGTGCAGGGCGGGAAAGGATCACTTCCAATTAACTTCCAATTAAATAGAAGCTGAGATGAATTCTAGTCCCTGGAAATAAAATCCTCAACCATCATGTGGAGTGAAAACAGCCGTGAGGAAAACTGATGTTTATTTGAGTGAACATGTGTGAAACAGCGTGAGGGATCAGTGTGGGACGCCGACAGCTGCCTGTCACTGCAAAGCCCCCCCCCAAGGACCCCCCCTATGAGCCTTTACTGTATGGTCGGACAACACGGAGGTGGCGTCCCGCTGCCGTGGAACAAACTCACCCACTCTGATCCCTGTGAGTGGGTCCACAGCTGAGCCCCTCTTCCTAAAGTCTGGATTCAGTTTCTGCTTCCTTCTGCAAAAGCTTAGAAGCTGATGACGTTTTAAGATCTGCTGCAGGTCAGATTAGGGAGGATTAGGCACCAAGTTGTGTAGATTTTAGGATTATTATTATCTAAGCAGTTAGGAACTAAGAGTAAATACTCTGCAGACGGAACCATCTGTTCAGCCTGGCCGCTCCGTCAGGCTTCAGCGCGCTGCAGGAAGACATTTCCACATCGTTACCCTTGTTTCTGTTCCACTTCTAAAAACTTCTGATATTTAGAAGGTTTAACTTTCATTAAACATTAATTAAAGTTCCTGAAATTTATGAACACCGTAATAAAGGATGACTTCAGATTTGAGATATTTAGAGGCACAGTTTGATGACTCTGATGCTCCATCAGGAAGTGTTATCAGGACCAACATGATGCATCCTGGGAAATGACTTCCAATGATTTATGGTCGTCAACATTTAATCAAATAACTTTTGATTCATGCTGTAACCGCCGGTGCTCCACGGAGCTAACTGAGAACTAGCGTGGCTACAGACAGGGCTGCTGCTCTCATTAAAGCCCCAGGAACTAATTAATACCAAAAATAATTGGGATTATTAGATTATGTGGCTAAATGAGGGATTATGATGAAGGTTCCACTGAGAGTTTAACATGAAACCAACATGTTTTCAGCTAGTTGTGATTGACAGGTTTTCATTTCACCTTCTTCAGGTCTAGAAAGGTTTGAGTTGGTGTTTAGCAGACTGGGTGGGACTTTATTAATCTAATGAATGTAAAACAATTAATCAGATTAATCAGTGATTGAAATGGCATTTCCTTCGTTACACGTCCTCGGAAAAATTGAAGAACAAAGATTTTTGAATGACTTGATTACTGAATCAATTAATTCAGTAATTCGTTAAGGAATAAGGGATTAAGGTCCACTATAACGGGTTCCCACTTTAAGCCGCTCTGACAACCAGGATAAATGGAGATAAGTCAGGAAACTGGCAGATTGCAGTAAACATTGGGCTGAAACAATCTGATTAATAAATTATTCAGCTAATTCAGTAATCAGTTAATGGTTAACTGACTGTAAAACCTGCCTTTAGCTGACAGAGCGACCCACTTAAAGCAGGAGTTATACCATGATTGTAACAAAATATATAAACATTTTGCATTTAAGATTAATAAAAATTCCTCCTGTCAGTCTGCTCTATCTAGAACTCCTCAGGTGGAAAAAACTTTGTTTCACTTGGTTTCATTTTTGTAAGAAACCTTTCAGGACCGTTTGTATCTGATTATTAATCAATTAATCAGAAACAGATTTATCAATTTCCAAAATAATCTTTGGTTGCAGCCATAGATGAATGTCCCGTGTTTGTTCGCTTCCCTCTGCAGCTGAGCTGCAGTGCTCAGCATGAGGGTTCATCATGAGGTCTGATGTGTTCAGACCTCATCTAGGACCTTCAATCATCCTATTTTCTCCTTTTAGAGAAACATTTGGTTTCTAGACGTTGAAAGAAAGTGAGCGTCACGCTTAAAGCGGATTTCCCTCCCTGAAAGTGACACTTCTAGTCTGGAATGTTCTGGAAATCTGACATGCAGCCCGTGTCTATTTTTGCCTTCCTCTTAGCGTGCCAGCATCTTCCTCAGTTCTGGCATCAGTGTCTTTAGACAACGTGTCTCCTAAAGCTGCCGGGTCGTTATTTGAACAGAAGGACTTTATATTTGGGATGTATCATGATGGATCAGAGCTTGTTAGAGAGCAGTGCGTGCTGAAAAGCCTGCAGCTCCCGTACGTAAATCACTCCACCAGTGACACGCAGACATTGTTTGCTGATTCCTGTCATGTATATTTCAGCACCTCTGTTAGGATCTATATCCCCCATTCGGTCCCCAGAGCGGATGCTAATGTTGCTGGCTGGCCTAAATCTGCGGCTCAGCGTCGTGCCGAGTGCGCCCATTATTGCTAATTATTTATTGCAGCCTGAGGCGACGCGCCAGCCTGCCTCCTCCAATCAGACATTGTTTCTCTGCAGACGGAGAACCAAACGCTGCATGCTGATTCCACTCCGGAGATGCGTACATAAGGAACGACTATTACGCTGCATTTCTTTAATATTTCAGTCCTTGCATCAGGCTGAGCAGGAAGCTGTCGCTGGGTTTTTATCCAGGGAGTGAAGGCCAACTCTTCCATCACCTTCTCATGTTCACATAAAACCCACAGGGAGGGGGGGTGGCTGCTGACCTTTAGGGTCAACAGGGAACTGCCTTTTTGACCCTCGGCAGCTCAGCTAAGACCCCCCTCTAAGCTGTTGACGCCTGAATCCCCTTCTGCTGAGCTCAAGATGGAAGCAGCCCCCCAGCTTCGCTCATAAAACCTGTTGGAGAAGGTGTTTCTTTACTTTAGGGCTGCAACTAACCATTATTTAGCAAATCGATTAATCTGTTGATTATTTTCTGGATTAATCGATTAATAATCACATAGGCAAAGGTTCCTTAAAGAAGACTTTGTATTATATTAAACCAGGTGAAACTAAAACTCTTTCACCCGAGGAGTTCTGGATATATCTTATATTATCTTAACTGCAAAATGTTTATATATTTTTTTACAATCTTGGTATAATTCCTGCTCTAAGTGGGTTGCTCTGTCAGCTAAAGGCAGGTTTTACAGTCTATATACTCCAATTAATTGATGACTGAATTAGTTGTTGATTATTTCAATAATCGATAAATCATGATTCATTGTTTCAGCCCTATGTTTACTGCAATCTGCCAGTTTCCTGACTTATCTCCATCCTTATTGTCAGAGTGGCTTAAAGTGGGAACCCGTTATAGTGGACCTTAATTCCATCTGTTAGATTTCCCACAGACCTTGAAGAAAAATCATTAAAACTACATTAAAAAAAGAACATTTGTGAGTCAGTCTGAGTATCAGTCATCAGTCACTACAGCGGTCGGACGGAGGAGGTTGGACGGAGGAGGTTGGACGGAGGAGGTTGGACTTAGGCTTTCAGAGCGAGGAGGTTGGACTTAGACTTTCAGAGCGAGGAGGTTGGACTTAGGCTTTCAGAGCGAGGAGGTTGGAGACTGAGGCTTTTAGAGCGAGGAGGTTGGACTCAGGATGTTGGACCGAGGAGGTTGGACCGAGGAGGTTGTACTTAGGAGGTTGGACTTAGGAGGTTGGACTGAGGCTTTTAGAGCGAGGAGGTTGGACCGAGGAGGTTGGACTGAGGCTTTTAGAGCGAGGAGGTTGGACCGAGGAGGTTGGACTGAGGCTTTCAGAGCGAGGAGGTTGGACTGAGGCTTTTAGAGCGAGGAGGTTGGACTCAGGATGTTGGACCGAGGAGGTTGGACCGAGGAGGTTGTACTTAGGAGGTTGGACTTAGGAGGTTGGACTGAGGCTTTTAGAGCGAGGAGGTTGGACCGAGGAGGTTGGACTGAGGAGGTTGGACTGAGGTGGTTGGACTCAGGATTGTCTCATATTTACTCATCTAGAACGGTTGAGGGTCTTTATGTTTTCCACAATGAGCCGTTTTTCTTCATGAAGCATCCAAACAGCAGCGGCAGAAGGAACATGTTCCTCCTCTGACTGCATGTCTGCTGCTGCTTCTCTCCTGAGTGGCTCTCCTCCTCCCTGTCATCCCGTCTCTCTGTGTGCTTCTATGCTAATCCAGGGTGAGAATGAAAGAGAAGCAGGAGATCAGGTGGGAGGATGAGAAATCAATTAGGACTGTTGGAGGGCATCATTATGCATTCACACCCCCTCTGCAGAGGAAGGCCTGTCACTTTGCTACTGAATCAATACAAATCAAAGCAGTGTGTGTCTGAGCATACACCCTACATGCTAAAGCTGCCATTTATCTGCTGCCTCCTTCAGCTCCACATCTGATTAGCCTGCTCACAGAGGGACCCACAGACCTGGATCCAGCAGGTCTGAGCAGCAGATCCCAGACTGGAACCAGTTCAACCAGTGCTTTAGGCTTCATCCGTCAGTGTGTGAGAGGGGGGGTGTTCTGCCAGAACCAGAACTCCACCAAAGAATCTTTATCTTAGAGTTTGAATCACTAAGTAGATTCAGAGGAACTTTGAAAGCTGGTCCAGACGCCGGAGCTTCAGTTCCTGCTGCGTTTAGCTGAACCGTAGTTCAGCTCGTCATGTTCTCCTGCGTTTGAGTGTTCAGGCGCTCCTCCGCACTGATGGGATGAAGAAGGAGGCCACGGCCGGATCTCCAGTCTAACGTTGGTCTTTCTTTCTTGCAGTGCCTCCTCAGATCGTCGTCAGGCCGCGAGACCAGATCACAGCTCCGGGTCGGACCGTGACCTTCCTCTGCGGTACCAAGGGAAACCCCCCGCCTGCCGTCTTCTGGCAGAAAGAAGGCAGCCAGGTGAGGAAGAAGCACCACAGTGAACACTTAACCCCTCAGCTGATGGTTAATGAGCCGGGGCCGCGTTCCAGGACCCAACAGGACGGGTTTAATGGAGAATGTGAATCTTTGCAGCTTGTCAAAGGTGTCCAGAATAAAACCTTGATGTATGAATGGATGCATCCAGGTGCTTTTCTTTCAGTGGACGCATCATGAGCAGATCTAGCCCTTGTTTTATCTCTGCTTTTACCTGCTGATGAGTTTCAGACGTTGGCGCTGTGGTTCAGAGCTCTAAAACCAACAGGATGGAGACATTTTCCACACGTCGTCCTGCTGCCTTTTGTCAGTTCTAGAAAAAAGAGGCTGTCAGAGTTCTATAAATCAAGGCAACAATCCATAATCCATTAACAGATCAATCATGTTTTAAGGAAGGTCTGTTTTCAGAACAATCCCACCCTCGGTTTAACGGTCAGCCGCCTGCAGCTCCTCCCGCCTCCTTCTGCAGGCAGCGTCCGTGTTCTCCATGTGCACAGGCAGGTCTGATGGTGCCGGGGCGTCTGCACTGTGATGAACTGGTGACCTGTTCTGGTGTCCACGTCTTGGCGACTGGAGATACGAGGCAGCCTCCCTGCAGCCACTGCAAAAAACTGAAATCTTAATAAGACTTTTTTTTCTTAAAATAAGTGCATTTTTCTCCTGAATTGGGGAGATATTTAAAATAAAAAAACTATTGTATTGTCTTATTTCAAGTGCATCTAATGATCTTATTTTAAGAGTAAAAATACTAATTCCATTGGCAAATTAGCAAAATCTTATTCACCTGCTCAAATTATGAGTTACTACACTTAATTTAAGAGATGCTGACTTATTTCTGTTATTTTAGCAGTGAAACGTGGATGAATAGCAGCGTTTCTCCATCAGTCTGGTCTGTATTCAGTCCATCAGACGGAACTCAGAGGATTCCTGTTATGCTCTGAGTTTTTAAGTTAGCCTCTGGTGGTTATTTACTTCAGTAAAAATTTTATTAAGACCTTCCTAACTTTTAAATATCTTTTAGCCTACTTCATGTTGCCAGACAGCATCTTTGTTTGACTCGATTTGAGTCAGGGAAAGCTGATGAAGTCTCCTAAGCGCTCCTTGCCTGTCAGCCAATGACGCACGGAGTAGAGCGATATTACGCATCATAGAGTCCTGCTGTTATTGGTTAAGATCATGTGGGCTGTTTGGTTTCGTAGGCATTGAAATAAGGTTTCGTAGGCATTGAAATAAGGTTTCATAGCCAATAAAATAAGGTTTCGTAGGCAATGAAATAAGGTTTCGTAGCCAATAAAATAAGGTTTCGTAGGCAATGAAATATGGTTTCGTAGGCATTGAAATAAGGTTTCGTAGGCAATGAAATATGGTTTCGTAGCCAATAAAATAAGGTTTCGTAGCCAATAAAATAAGGTTTCATAGGCAATGAAATATGGTTTCGTAGGCATTGAAATAAGGTTTCGTAGGCAATGAAATATGGTTTCGTAGCCAATAAAATAAGGTTTCGTAGGCAATGAAATAAGGTTTCGTAGGCAATGAAATAAGGTTTCGTGGGCAATGAAATAAGATTTCGTAGCCAATAAAATAAGGTTTCGTAGGCAATGAAATATGGTTTTGTAGCCAATAAAATAAGGTTTCATAGGCAATGAAATAAGGTTTCGTAGGCATTGAAATAAGGTTTCGTAGGCAATGAAATATGGTTTCGTAGGCATTGAAATAAGGTTTCGTAGGCAATGAAATATGGTTTCGTAGGCATTGAAATAAGGTTTCGTAGGCAATGAAATATGGTTTCGTAGCCAATAAAATAAGGTTTCGTAGCCAATAAAATAAGGTTTCATAGGCAATGAAATATGGTTTCGTAGGCATTGAAATAAGGTTTCGTAGGCAATGAAATATGGTTTCGTAGCCAATAAAATAAGGTTTCGTAGGCAATGAAATAAGGTTTCGTAGGCAATGAAATAAGGTTTCGTGGGCAATGAAATAAGATTTCGTAGCCAATAAAATAAGGTTTCGTAGGCAATGAAATATGGTTTTGTAGCCAATAAAATAAGGTTTCATAGGCAATGAAATAAGGTTTCGTAGGCATTGAAATAAGGTTTCGTAGGCAATGAAATAAGGTTTCGTAGCCAATAAAATAAAGTTTCGTAGGCAATGAAATATGGTTTCGTAGCCAATAAAATAAGGTTTCGTAGGCAATGAAATAAGGTTTCGTAGGCAATGAAATAAGGTTTCGTAGGCAATGAAATAAGGTTTCGTAGGAAATGAAATAAGTTTTCGTAGGCAATGAAATAAGGTTTCGTAGGAAATGAAATAAGGTTTCGTAGGCAATGAAATAAGGTTTCGTAGGCAATGAAATACGGTTTCGTAGGCAATAAAATAAGGTTTCGTAGGCAATGAAATAAGGTTTCGTAGCCAATAAAATAAGGTTTCGTAGCCAATAAAATATGGTTTCGTAGGCAATGAAATAAGGTTTCGTAGGCAATGAAATATGGTTTCGTAGGCAATGAAATACGGTTTCGTAGGCAATGAAATAAGGTTTCGTAGGCAATGAAATAAGGTTTCGTAGCCAATAAAATAAGGTTTCGTAGGCATTGAAATAAGGTTTTGTAGGCATTGAAATAAGGTTTCGTAGCCAATAAAATAAGGTTTCGTAGGCATTGAAATAAGGTTTTGTAGGCATTGAAATAAGGTTTCGTAGCCAATAAAATAAGGTTTCGTAGGCATTGAAATAAGGTTTTGTAGGCATTGAAATAAGGTTTCATAGCCAATAAAATAAGGTTTCGTAGGCAATGAAAAAAGGTTTCAAACAAGGCTAGACATGACTGGGTTGCATTAAGCAGAGCCGTGTTACAGGCTTGCTTAAGAGTGAAATACAGCTGATCAATGCGTGCAGCTCAAAGCTGAATAATAACAACGCTCTGATATTTTTGAAGTTCAGATGCTGATTTTATTTTATTACAATGCCTACGGCTGAAAAAGGAAAACTAAAATAAGGCTTGGAAAAGGCACTGGGGCTTATTTTAGCTTGAAAAGCAGCAGTTTCATTATTTTTTTTTTTTTTAGAGATTTTTATGTCATTTTAGTTTATTTTGTTATATATACACTGATCCTGAAAAAGTGGAAAATACTTGCCTTATAAATGTTTTGTGGCCATCAAAATGCTTCAGTGTTATTCTATGGATCAAATAGTTGAGTTAAAGCATTTGGCACAATTGGAGAGATGCTGGTGACACCAAAAGTTCAACACCCCACAGCTCTGGAACTGATGCAGCCAGAGGTCTGAAAGCTTCTGTATTTGTGTTTGACATGATTTAGAACAAATGTAATTCAATGAGACGTGTCTTTTCTCGAGCATGTCTTTATTACTAAACAATGTTGAGTCATGTTTGAACTGTTGTAGCTTAGGCTGTGTTCTCCTTACTATTTGCAGAAACTAGAAGGTATTACCCTTTTCCATTTGGGTCTGCAAAATAGGCGAGGATTACATCAAATGAGGTGGATGTTACAAAGTTAAAGATTTCTCAGAAGGTCAGTTTTTCGAAAGCTGACTTTATTCTTAGGTGAAGGGATCATTTATGACAACCTTGCTGCGTTTTTCTGAGACAGATTTTGAGTTAAACCCTCACAGCATCACTCCGTCCGGTTCTCCTCTGTCGTCCGTCCTTCCATCACTTCAGAGCTGCTCTAACTCACACGGTAAACATCCTTCATCGTCCACCTGGTGCATCATTCTTCTGCTCGGGCCTTCAGAACAACCATGTCTGAATGAGGAGATAAGAGTTCCTGCCTGTTGGATTGATGACAATAGCGATAGAGTGAGTGTGTAGGCACCCAGGTAGAGATTATAGGGGAGCGGGAACCAGATTGGAGGAGCCTGGAAAATATGTGTGGGAGAGAAGGAATGGAGGAGAGAGATAAAGAGGTGAGAGAGAGAAGGAGCACGCTGGGAATGAGAGTTCAGGCTTCCCTCGAAACGTAGAGGCGGCCGGCAGAGTCTGCTGCTACTGTTCACATTCCAGCTCTGCCTGACCAAGATGGAGGAGGTTTGAACTTCTTCCTGCTTTAATCTGACTGAACGCCGTCCAACAGAAGAACAAACACATCTAAAGGGGAGAAAAACACCCAGAGGCCCTGATAACCATTAAACTGCATCGTTCTGTTACCTTTAATGAACCTGAAGTTCAGCTGAACTCTGCATCTGAAATGATTCTAATGATGCATCATAGAAAGAAATCAGTTAGGAAACCCAAACGCTTCCTGCTTGTCACAGAATGACGGGTTTCTGACAGCAGCAGCTCTGGGAAAGAAGCTGTTTTTAGTCGGTTTGTCCTGGGTTGGATGTTCCTGGACGGTTCTTCCTGATGGAGGTGCTGGGTGGAGCCTGTAGCCGCGGGTCTGACCCTCTTGGACCGTTTATGCTCCATCAGGCCAATAACGGTGTTCATGGCTCAGAAATGCTCCTCTTTTAGGCTTTCTGCTCTCTGGTTTCAGATGGTGGCGTGAAAACAGGCGGCCAAACGGCTCAACAAGTCAAAGTAATCAATTTAAACAAAAATACTTGGAAGCTTCACTTAGAGTTTCTGGTATTTTCTTCATTTATTATTTAGAAAACGTTGTTTTCATAGAAGCGGTGATTAACGTGGTGAGGAATCCTGTGGAGAAGCTCAGAGTTCCCATCTGGATGTTTCTTTTTTTTCCAAACTATCACTGTGTATTTAAATTGGTCTGAGTTTTTCTGACCAGAAACTTTGGACGCAGGTTTTTTTGCTCTAGCTCTGCAGGCCGGGCTCCTGATCACCTGCCAGCTGTAAACTCTCTGCTGCTGCAGCCTTTGACCTGCTGCCTGCTCCTCCTTTCCGTCTGTGGATCCCAGGCTGGGGGGCAGCAGACCGGCTCAGCCGTGGGACACAGCAGCTCAGAGTGAACAGGAATAAAGAGGAAAGGAAGCAAAGATCTAAAGCTTCTGTCTCTCCTCCAGATCCTGCTGTTCCCCATCCAGGAGCCTTCTCAGTCCAGTCGTTTCTCCGTGTCTCTGAGCGGCGAGCTCACCATCGCCGACGTGCAAGTGGAAGACTCTGGCTTCTACATTTGCCAGGCCATCAGCGTGGCTGGAAGCATCCTGACCAAAGCCCTGCTGGAGGTGGAAAGCGGTGAGTCTGAACAGCAGCGAGCAGAATGGAGGTTCAGCAATGACTGAACTTTTTTTATTTAGATTCAGAGGTTTACATACAATAAGAAGCACTGCGGGAAAATCTCCTCCTTTGATCTCTAATCTGATGTAATGAAATGAGACGACTGCTGACAGATTTATGGAAATAACTGGGCTGTAGTAAACGCTTCACCCGCTGCCTTCCTGCCAATCAATGGGGATGTGGTTCAGCTCCATCTGCAGGAGCTCCTCTGTGGACCTTTAGCTCCAGTCGGACACAGAGCTGTGTAACTCAGCCTGCATGTGAGCGGCTGCGATCATGGCATACCTCCATGCACCGTGTCTTAGAAGCAGTCCTGTTCCTGCAGCGACATCCTGAACATTCTGCTTCTGGTCGCTTCAGCTTTTCCATCTGCTTCTGTCTCCATTTGTCTCTATGTTTGAAATCAGGGTTTCAGATGAAAACTGCCGTCAGTTAAAAGGACCTATTCTGCAAAATTCACTTTATTTCAATTGCTGCTAAAATCAGTCTTAAAAACTTCCAGCTGTTTGCTGATAAATAAATGCTTCATTGGTGTCTGTCTGGAAAATGAGCCACTTTAAAAAACGTCCTTATTATGACGTCAGCATGGGCGGGACCTGCCCCTCACCCAGCTGATTCTGAAACCAGCTTAAAACAAAACTATCTTTTTGTTTAAAAGTTGTTCTGAGAATTTCTCTAACATCCAAAGACAGACTGAGAGTAAAATGACTGGAAGATGATTTGTTCTGTTTCCTCTCAGTAATGCCTTTGGATTGTCAGTAATTAGGTCTAGTTTTCCTGTCTTTAAAGCCAGTGAGGTTAGCTAAAACACCTTTAGCATGGCAGGATGCTGCTCTGGAAGTCAGCCACACGTCTCCATGGTTACCGGCTAGTAGATCTATAAAGCCGGGCGTACACTGTGCGATTTTTTCAATCGTTGCACACAGCTACAGCTGATACTGTACGACTAGACCGCAGGGTTTGGTCGTACAGTTCACAGCTCACGACGTCTGCTCAGCACGACGCTCTGATGCGATCTACCTGCTCACACTGTAGGTCTAAAAGCCAGGTGGGACGTATTTGGACAAAGACATGGATGAGCAAACGTGGCTACTACGGTCTGTCAATTTTACAGAAAGAACTCCATTTCACTCATTGCACCCCCGCTATGCTGCTGGGTTTTCATCTGAGAGGAAGAAGAAGAAGAATCCATGTTTGCCCACTGAGCGATTTAAACACGACCACCTTAAGACGGCAGAGTGAATTTCAAACATGTTTGATTTTCTCCCAACTTCACGATTCCTGATGGGGAGGTGGTCGTTAGAGGCTGATCGCCCCTCGTTACCCTCTGTACACTACACCACGCACCATCAGGCTGACAGTCGGCCTGATAGGAAAAAACTCACACGACTGAAAAGTCACCCCGAAAAGGGCTAAAAATGGCACAGTGTACTTCTGGCTTCAGGTGGAGTCCGATCTGAGGAAGACTGATTGACCCTGAATCTGCTCACATTCAGCAAAGGATTGAAAGCAGCATGGAAACTGAACCCTCTGTTGTAATCTACCGCATTTTCCGGAATATAGAGGCGCCTCACTATTAGCCCCACCCACTTTTTTTTTTTTATATATATGTAACTGGAAACGTACATATATAAGTTGAACCGGTGTAGGTACCAGATTGACTCGGGCTGCCAGATTGACTCGGTGGCCTGCGCCTTTTGATGACGTCACAATACATAATTGTTTTAACGTTTGCACAATTGCGCAAAACATTTTGATTGGTCTGGACAGCTTACTAAAGTAATTATAGCGGGGTGTAGGTTTTATTCGAAAGCGGGATTGCGGTTTGTAAACGGACAATTTTACGAAGAAATTCTCCATGGTCCCTGCGCCTTCCGATGACGTCACCGAATTCGCCATGGGCCTTGCGCCTCCCGATGACGTCACATTATGGCAACGCCACTCAAACAAACTACATTGAGCCCGAGGTCTGCATTTCTAACGAGAATAAATTCAGGAGAATGAAGCTAAAGGGATACAAAAAATAAACTTGTAATATTACAAAAACAAAAATACTACAAATACAAAGTATATTCAGAGATTAAAGTCCCTCTGATACTGTTTAAGTGGCTGAGAAACTGCAGATTTGCCACATTTAAGATGGCGGACGCTCTGACGCATCTCAGCTTAGGCAAATTAATGTTTTAATGTATTATAGGTATTTGGTCAATTAACGGACAGTGCCAAATGATTACCGTTTATTGGCTAAATAAAATAGATTTGTGACAAATAGAGACCGCGGGCGCAATGTAGTTTGTTTGAGTGGAGTTGCCATATCGTTACGAGTGGCGTTGCCATATAGTGACGGGCGGAGTTGCCATATTATGACGTCATCAAAAGGCGCAGGCCCCCGAGTCAATCTGGCAGCCCGAGTCAATCTGGTACCTACACCGGGCTATAAGCTGCGGATCACTGAACTGTCTTCCACCAAACCTGTAGGGGGCGCTCTACATATAGCCTCTAGAGTAGGGAGGAAGAAGGATGCTAGCTCCTGTTAGCTCGTTAGCTAGCAGCAGTAAGAGCTTCTGCTGAAAGATGGAGCTTCATCAGCTCTTTATTTCAGCTCTGCAGGCGATGAGCTCTGTCTCTTCATTGGTTCAGAGGCTTTAATGCAGCAAACAAATATTAAAAATGTCTAAATTTGAGCCATTTGTTCTCCACTGCTAGCATGTTCTTGGGCTAAATTAAAATTAGCCCCTTATTCTTTAATTTCCACCTTTGAATTAAAACTCCCTTTTAAACCTGTTAAAAGGGAGTTTTTCCTCTCCACTGTCGCTACAAGCATGCTTAGTGTGAGGGATTGTATTTGAGTCAATGAGTCGATGCAATCAACTGGTTTTCCTTAGATAGAAAACTTTGTATCAATATGACTGGATGATCTGGTTGAACTGGAAAGTGCCTTGAGATGACATGTGTTGTGAATTTGGCGCTATATAAATAAACTGAATTGAATTGAAAATTTAATTGAATTGAACTGAATTCCACCTCTGGCAGTTTGGAAAAATCCACAGAAAAGTCGAACCTTATAGCAGCATGGTTCAAAGCGTGGGTAAAAAGTAGGGGCTTATAGTCCAGGAAATACGGTAGACAACATGGAAACATTCTTGCTGCGTCCCAATCAGCTGTTTGCTTTCTCTCTGATTAGCAAAGATTCCTCCATCTCTGTTCTCTATCTCAGTGAGCAGATGAAGACAGACTGTAGCGTTTCTGATGCAGCTGTTAACCAGCTGCTGGTCACCAGCAGGAGAATAACCTGAGGATCTTTAATTGAAAGGAGGAAACTAGAGACCTGCTATTAACCTCTACCTCTGTCTGCTGTCCCTCCAGCTCCCTCAGACAGGGTCCCCCCCATCATCCGCCAGGGGCCGGGGAATCACACCCTGGCCCCCGGGTCCACGGCTCAGCTGCACTGCCACGTCATGGGAAACCCCTTCCCCAGCATTCAGTGGGAGAAGGACGGCCAGAGGATCCTGGGAAACGACGGCCGGATCACCCTGATGGAAAACGGCACCTTTCAGATCACCAGCCTCCAGGTGAGACCGCCGTACCCGATCACCACCGGGTCCACACCCCCGATCTGTCACCCAGTAAAACCCAGTTTGCAGGTCAGAATGGGATTGATCTGCTCAATAGGAGAGGACAGAGCTGGATTCACACGGTGAGAGTTTCAAAGTAGAGTGAAGGGGTGTGATAATGAGCGTGCAAGGCCATTAACGGCCGCTAACGCCATCTGACGCTGCGCTAATTAAATCCGCTCTGCCAAGACTTCCCTCCTGAGGGCAGCGCAGCACCTGAGGTCACTGCAGCCCCTGAAGAGGCTCAAACAGGAATCGATTGTGGGTTCTCAATGAGTAACGATCTCTGAAGCTGCTAATTAGATCCTGAATGCATCAGTGGACGTCAGGAGTGAATGAGGGAGGGAGGAGGCGGGGGAGGAGGCTGACTCAGGGGGAGAAACAGCTGGAAGATGGAGCTCTGCAGGAGGAATCCTTGGACCAGGTGATCTCAGTGTCTGAGGGCTGAGTGTGAAGCAGCACTGATGCTGAGGTTAGCCTCACAATGATGATGTCTGCAGAGATTCAGTTTCTGCAGACTTCTGGACATCTATCAGGTTGACCTGCAGGGTCTCCCCATCCTGCTCCACCTACTGCTCCACCTACTGCTCCATCTCCTGCTCCTTCTCCTGCTCCTTCTCCTGCTCCATCTCCTGCTCCATCTCCTGCTCCATCTCCTGCTCCTTCTCCTGCTCCATCTCCTGCTCCATCTCCTGCTCCTTCTCCTGCTCCATCTCCTGCTCCATCTCCTGCTCCATCTCCTGCTCCATCTCCTGCTCCTTCTCCTGCTCCTTCTCCTGCTCCATCTCCTGCTCCTTCTCCTGCTCCATCTCCTGCTCCTTCTCCTGCTTCGTTTCCTGCTCCATCTCCTGCTCCATCTCCTGCTTCGTTTCCTGCTCCATCTCCTGCTCCATCTCCTGCTCCTTCTCCTGCTCCATCTCCTGCTCCTTCTCCTGCTTCGTTTCCTGCTCCATCTCCTGCTCCATCTCCTGCTTCGTTTCCTGCTCCATCTCCTGCTCCATCTCCTGCTCCTTCTCCTGCTCCATCTCCTGCTTCGTTTCCTGCTCCATCTCCTGCTCCTTCTCCTGCTCCATCTCCTGCTTCGTTTCCTGCTCCATCTCCTGCTCCATCTCCTGCTCCATCTCCTGCTCCTTCTCCTGCTCCTTCTCCTGCTCCATCTCCTGCTTCGTTTCCTGCTCCATCTCCTGCTCCATCTCCTGCTCCATCTCCTGCTCCTTCTCCTGCTCCTGCTCCATCTCCTGCTCCACCTACTGCTCCTTCTCCTGCTCCTTCTCCTGCTCCTGCTCCTTCTCCTGCTCCACCTACTGCTCCTTCTCCTGCTCCTTCTCCTGCTCCTGCTCCTTCTCCTGCTCCACCTACTGCTCCTTCTCCTGCTCCTTCTCCTGCTCCATCTCCTGCTCCTTCTCCTGCTCCTTCTCCTGCTCCATCTCCTGCTCCTTCTCCTGCTCCTTCTCCTGCTCCATCTCCTGCTCCTTCTCCTGCTCCATCTCCTGCTCCTTCTCCTGCTTCGTTTCCTGCTCCATCTCCTGCTCCATCTCCTGCTTCGTTTCCTGCTCCATCTCCTGCTCCATCTCCTGCTCCTTCTCCTGCTCCATCTCCTGCTCCTTCTCCTGCTTCGTTTCCTGCTCCATCTCCTGCTCCATCTCCTGCTCCTTCTCCTGCTCCATCTCCTGCTCCTTCTCCTGCTTCGTTTCCTGCTCCATCTCCTGCTCCATCTCCTGCTTCGTTTCCTGCTCCATCTCCTGCTCCATCTCCTGCTCCTTCTCCTGCTCCATCTCCTGCTTCGTTTCCTGCTCCATCTCCTGCTCCTTCTCCTGCTCCATCTCCTGCTTCGTTTCCTGCTCCATCTCCTGCTCCATCTCCTGCTCCATCTCCTGCTCCTTCTCCTGCTCCTTCTCCTGCTCCATCTCCTGCTTCGTTTCCTGCTCCATCTCCTGCTCCATCTCCTGCTCCTTCTCCTGCTCCTTCACCTGCTCCTGCTCCATCTCCTGCTCCATCTCCTGCTCCATCTCCCGCTCCATCTACTGCTCCATCTCCTGCTCCATCTCCTGCTCCATCTCCTGCTCCATCTCCTGCTCCATCTCCCGCTCCATCTACTGCTCCATCTCCTGCTCCATCTCCTGCTCCTTCTCCTGCTCCTTCTCCTGCTCCATCTCCTGCTCCATCTCCTGCTCCATCTCCTGCTCGTGTCTCTGAGCTGTTCTGCTAGCAGCCCCTGATTCAGACCCAGCTGCAGGCTTCCCTCTGCCCCAGCAGAACCACCTCTACAGGAAGTGGAGATGTTCAGGTCAGCGATCTGGTTGGATGTCAGAACTGAGGGAGCTTCTTCTTAAAGATCAGGAGGAGAAGCAGGAGAAGGATTTCATCTTTCTCTCATCTCCTTAGTGCTAAAACCATTTTCCTCCTCCATTAACTTCTGAAAGAATAACTTTAATCTGAAAACAAACATTTCCAGTTCAGACCTTCAGTTTCCAAACAGAGCAGACATGATCTTTATTGCTCATCATGAATCCACATCATTCTGAGCGAACAATAATGGTCTGATTAGAGCAGCAGAAGCATACGGTAAAAACCCAAAGACAACAGTGAGACCAACAGAACGTTTAACCCCAGAGTCCTGCTATAAATAGGCTGAGTGGACCTGGGCTCCTGCAGGGGGACAGATGGAGGACTGGCTCCTGGTAACCTGCCATTCTACCCCGGGCCTTCATCCAGGCACAGGCTTCTGCTCTCCTCACACGGCTGCCAAGGACTGGCTGTGTTCCTGGGCTAAATGGTTGATGCTGCAGCGGTGATGCAAGGTGTGGAGGCCAGCCGAAGAATCAGGAGCTGCAGGAGGACAAGCAGACAGACGAAGAGGAAGACTGATTGGGTTACAGCAGGAAGCCAGTCTCAGTCCTGCTGACTGTAATCAGGTTTCCCTTCTGCCTGACGTCAGCACCTGATGACTCATCGCTGGGAAGCTGGTCAGCAGCAAAAATCAGAAATCATTCATTTGATTTTGCTCCGTTTGAAGCACCTGTTTATCTTCCTGGACCTTCATCCCAGTCAGGTAGCAGATCATCCGGTTAAACGCTACCATCTGGAGGTCCACTTTCTCCCCTTTCAGACACATCAGCTGCTCACAGGTCAACTGAAGAGGAGGAGGCGGAGCCTGTCCCCCCCACCGACATCCTGCAGGACAGTCTGACAAGCCACTTAGGCCTGAGTAATTCCTCTGTCACTGTTACTGATGAGCGGGCCCCCTGATCCAGGGGAGGACGGGCCGCCGGATCAGGGGCTCATTAGTCACGCTGGGTCCTGCTGGGCACTGGCTCTGCATAATGCAGGAGGTTTTCAATGGGAAGGAAAAGGCCAGAGCGGGAGAGTGAGTGGAAGCTGATGGTGTGTTTGTCTAAAACGATGAACAAAGAGGAAATTAACGGCTAAACCACAGCAGCCCCATGACAGGCGGCTGGGAAGAAACAACCTTCAGCTTAATAAGGCTCCTCCTCCTCCTCCTCCTCCTCCTCCTCTGGACTTGGAGGGCTGAGCTGGTGCGGTGCCCACGCTTCAACCCTTTAGAGCTTCTGCCTTCCATAGGGCCTTCAAAGCCTCTTTCCCACTGAAAATAGCAGGTTAACTTGTGTTTTTGTAACATTGGTCGACCTGCTAACAATCGGCATTTGGTTTCCTTCCCACTGGCTAATAAAGCTGCTCTCTTGAGTTCAATGGTATCACGTCATTTAACTGGTCAACCATGATCTGATATTTCCACAGCATGTTGATCAGAGCCGAGTCGTTTGACCCGGATAGACATGCATCAGTGAGCTGTTCCCACTGCCACTAAAAGTCCGGGTTTAAATTAGTTTTTACACCAGTGGGAAATGGGTAAAAGGTACAATATTTCACGTTTTCACTGATACTTTTTTATGTCCTGATATGAGACCAGCTCCAATCACACCTACAGTGGTAGCCATTCAAAATTTACTCTCTTTCCCTGGCTGGTTCTTGGCTGGTCCTTGGCTGGTCCTTGGCTGGTCCTTGGCTGGTTCTTGGCTGGTTCTTGGCTGGTCCTTGGCTGGTCCTTGGCTGGTCCTTGGCTGGTCCTTGGCTGGTCCTTGGCTGGTCCTTGGCTGGTCCTTGGCTGGTTCTTGGCTGGTCCTTGGCTGGTCCTTGGCTGGTCCTTGGCTGGTCCTTGGCTGGTCCTTGGTTAGCACTTGGTTAGTACTTGGCTGGTCCTTCTCTGGTCCTTGTCTGGTCTTTGGCTGGTCCTTGTCTGGTCTTTGGCTGGTCCCTGTCTGGTCCTTGGCTGGCCCTTGGCTGGTCCTTGGCTGGTTCTTGGCTGGTCCTTGGCTGGCCTTTGGCTGATCCTTGGCTGGTCCTTGGCTGGCCTTAAATATTCTTTCTGTCATGATTTATGGATCTAAAGAGAAGCGCCATCTCCTGGTTAGAATCTGAAATTCAGTGAAAGGGTGGAATCAGAGTAAAAAGTTATGTACGCCCAGGAGAAGGGCTGCCATTCAGGTGGCGTTTGTCTTAGGGAATGGCTGCTACTGTACCTTTATTTCTTCTCTTATTGTGGGATGTTAGAACAGAGAAAAATATTCACTATCAGAACCAGCAATCTACTTATTTTTGACCAATGGATCACAGAAACCTCAGAAAGGAGAGTTTTCATCAGGGTAATGACATCACATTTCTTTGCCTGATAATGATATGGGATTGGGACGCCCCCTCCCATAATTACCCAGAGCCACCAGTCGCCATGTTCAGGTTGGAGGTTACAGATAAATGGCTGAAAGAGGAGTGATGTGAAGCAGCCTTTGAGAGGAGGGGGCCATAATTTGGCTCCCCCCAAAAACATGTAACAGCCCCCATTCACCCGTACACCCACAGACCAGCACATCTATCACACCTCTTAATTACATCTCTCCGTACGCCGTCAGAATGCTAAGCAGAAGAAGAAGGAAGCCTCGGAAATCTGTGGACCTCTCCCTGCTCGTTAAGATTCAGCCCTTTGATCCGCGCCGCAGCGCTCCTCCTCTGGTGTGAAAGGATCAGACCGCGAACATGAAAGCCACAAGCTTGACTTTAGCTTCAGCTTCAAATGGGGCCACTGAGAATATTTCAATTAAGGGAGCCTGGAAAAAAACACAGTCGACAAAATCTCCGTGGTCGAAGCGATTAATTGGAACAGCTTGTTTGTTTAGGTAGGCTTAATGGAATCTATTCAGGAGGTTCATTTGAAGAGAAATACATTTTTGTGTGTGTGTGTGTGGGGGGGGGGGGGGGGTGGTGTGGGGGGGTAAATCTAATAAGGTTTTCTTTTTAAACTGTCCTTGAATTACCTGCTTTAGGATCAACGCTGCGCAGAAATAAATTCCTCCTTTAGTGACGGTTTGCCTCTCTGAGAGTTTCACCCAGTCCTCTTAAAAACAATCAGCCTGAAGGCTTTGAACTTTGACTAGGCCGTTCAAACATGAATGGGCTTTGGTGTGTGGCATAACGACTGTGCTATTGGTTTGACTGCGAAGAGAGACACGTATTCAGCCTTTAAACCGGGGCTGCAACTAACGATTATTTACCAAATTGATTAATCTGTTGAATGATCAGAGCTTAAAGAAGAGCTTTTATGAAATTAAACCATCCATCCATCATGGAACAGCTAAAGGCCTGTTTTACAGTCTCTACACTCCCGTTAACAATTAATTGATTACTAAATGAGTTGATGATTATTTCAGTAATCTATTAATCATGATTAATGAGATTAATTGTTTCAGCCCTCGTGTAAAATCACACACTCGACCCACTGTCCTCTCACCCGGCTCTGTCTCTGTGTTTGTGATGTCATAAATATGTATGTAAATGAACCACACCTTCAGCCAATCACGCGCTGCTTTGTTTCAACCAATCAAAGCATTCGTTCCAAATGCGACATCCGGTTCAGGCTTAATGATAAACACAATCAGGACATCGAACAGCTCTTGCAGTTATGTGATCAACACTCCTATATTAAAGGTATTGTGGAGGATTTTCACTAATAATGTGACCTCTTCACTTAAAAAAATGCACGTGCAAGAGCGCTGTTCTCATAGCTCATACCAGCTTATTGTGTCCCACCGCCCGCCCCCACCCCTAAATCCCTCCATCACTATGTGGAGCAGGGACTATATAGTGGAGCTTATAGTGAACTCACTTACTGCTCGGACAGATGATCACTTCCCCGTTGGTCCTCTGCGCAGTGACTGCATCTTCTTTGTTATGGTCCGTTTCTGTCGCTACCTGACAGCGGGCCGCTGTGACAGCAATTCCCATAATGCTTTGCGAGGAGAGCTCTCCACGCAAAGCATTCCCGGGACACACCTGAAAGTGCGGATGCGCAGAAAAAGATTGCTAACAGGGCTAGCACATAGGACGGCCCCACGTAAACATACCACTAGAGTGATTGACAGCTAGGAGGACCACTGATTGAGATGATCCACCTGGAAATAAAAGATCATCCTCTATACCTGTAAGTTTAGCCTTGGCTGTGACTCCATCCTGGAGAGAAATATCAGCTGTGCTGCTGCCATCAACACCTTTGTTTCTAGATGTTGGAGCTTGGCCTGTTTTCCAGTGTAGTCCTGTTTCTCTGACTGTGACTAACTGGATGTGCTCTCTTCATCCTCTGACATGGGAGCTGGCTCGGAGCTCGTCTGCCTGGCTGTGTGTTTCCTGGACGGGGCCGCCTGTGGAGCTGGTTGACAGTTGCCTTTTGTATCTATGCTTCTTTTTCTATGTCTGCTTCTATCTCCTTGAACCCCAGTGGGCCTCAGCAGATGGCCGCTCACACTGAGCCTGGTTCTGCTGGAAGTTTCTTCCTGTTCAAAGGGAGTTTTTCCTCTCCACTGTCGCTACAAGCATGCTTAGTGTTTTAAATCATGTGTTGTGAATTGGCGCAATAGAAATAAACTGAATAGAACTGAATTCAGTTTAGCTTAATGTTTTCATTTTTATAAACCCAGGGATGCCACCAATCCTGCGCAGATTTTCATTAAACCAGATGTAACATTTGAAAAGAACGCTTTGATTGGATGAAGAAAAGCAGAGCGTGATTGGCTGTTGGCTCGGTTCATTTTCATTTATGAAGTCGCAAGCGTAGAGGTGGAGTCAAGCGATCGGAGAAACAGCTGAGGACACGGCTGGTGCTGAGCGCTCGCAGAGATGGAGCCCAGCGGTGGGACAGTGGGTGGAGCTTGATGTTTAAACGCTGCATACCTGAGCGTGTCTCACTGCACGCTCAAACCGACGGATCAATCGTTACGCCATATTGGTGCCATCACTGCAGCTGACAGGGGAACCTCCACCCAACGCTGGAGTCCTTTCACTCCTCCATCCACCCTTTGTTCCCGCTGAACAACGCCTCCCCACAGCATAATGCTGCCACCGCTATGTTCCATCATGACAATGCTGCTTGGTGTTAGTTTGTGAGGATGACTCCCAGTAGATAACCTTGAACTTTACGTGTTTAAAATCCGCCCTCGGTCCTGATTCTGCCTCTTTCACCGTCACCAAACGCCGCTGGATTTATTTAGATTCAACCTTTGTGCTTCGCAGCTGCATGACGGAGCTGATTGGCTCAAACAAAAGCAGAAAAGAAACATCATTTCCAGGTGCTCTTATTTAACGTGTTGGGATTAATGGGAGCGGCGCCGCTTTGGAAAACATTATTAAAAAGGCTTTTTTCCTCCACTATGAAAGGGATCTGGAGGTGAAGTTATTATCAGCTCTCCGTTGTGTCGCCTTTTCATCCCGGGCCAAACTTCCTGCTGCTCGGCACGCTGAGCACAAACATCCTGCTTGGAGAGATATGGCATTTAGTCCCGATGGCTTGTAATGGATGCATTAACACACCATCACTCTCTCACACCGAACTAATGATGCACAATTTTGTGGTTGCCAGGAAACGGATTCAGGAGTTTACACCTGCCTGGCTTCCAGCTCCAGCGGAGAGACGAGTTGGAGTGGAGTGCTCACAGTCAAAGGTAAATTGTCTCTGTGTGATTTAATTACATGCAAATGAGGGCTCCCCAGAGGCGGTTTGCAAACAGAAATACCGTCGACGCTGGAATGTTGATAAAAGTGCAGCTTGAAGTGAGCAGATTTAGTTCAGGCTGCAGATTTAATGCAGACCGAACAGATTCAAGTTCTGCTAATGCATCTCTGAAAGGTAGGAAGAGCTAAAAACTGTTCTTGATACGAACAGAGGAAGATTTGCGGTTGTTTAGTTGGTCGCTCTGCAGACACGTCATAAAAACCTGAGCTGAGGCGTTCAGGGTCCTTTCCTTCCCGTTCTTTAGGGCGTGACAGCGGCGGGGATTACTCAGACCATTCACTCAGGCTTGGCCCCCCTGTCACTCACACTGACACCGTTGAATAAAAGTTCCTCCCATCCTGTTTCTTGGGAGCTTCTTTGCAAAACATTGAAACTTTTCTGACCCAGGTGCACCGCAGCATCAGTAACAGTAAATAACCGGATGGATCACAGGTAGAAACACCTTTTTGAATCTGTTCCATGAACGGTGACCATCAGCTTTACAGGAAATGCTGACGGCGGTTGCTGCAGTTTTCTCTTTGCAGTCATAGCAAAGGAAACCAGTAAACATCTGACTGCTTTCATAACTCGACTCTACCTCAGAGACACGAATCATCCTTCATTGTTCTGATTGTATCTCTGGTTGAAATGTGTCTCTTTTTATCCCTTAGCTCCCTTTGTCCTAAATGAAACTGGAATATATGAATTCTTTATTCAACCTGCTGAGATTCAAGCCTCTTTTTCTAAAGTGAACTGAAAGCTGCAGCATAAAACAGACAGAAAATCCAAAAACCGTCACATAAAGCACATAATCAAGCAGCTGCTCATCATTAAACATTAGGATCTAATGTCTGTTCTTTATCATTTATTAGAATAGCACTCTATAAATCCTCTGTCTTTATTAGTACAGAACATTTAGCTCAGATCTTTGGGATCCTGAAAGCACGCAGACCATAACAGGTTTTAGGTTCTGCTTTCGGTACATTTGGACAGAAACTTTTTACCCATCTGCCTGAATGATCAGAGTGCCTTGAAATGACCCGTGTTTTAGATAAACTGAACTAATTTAATTCAATTCAGTGTTTGTAGCACCTGACAGCTCAGATTTCAGCCTCTGGATCAGTAACCCAGCCAGGAAGCAGAAACTGCATTTAAAAACCAGCTACAGTTCAGCCAGATGGATTAAATGATGTCAGAAGCAGATGTAGAGGTCTAAATAACCAGGGAAGTGAAGAAGATGAGCAATAAATATCACCAGCATGCAGGTGAGATTCCACTTCAGGCAAATGATCCCTCAGGTTGTTCACATAGATTATGAACAGAGAGGAGGAGCTAGGTCCAGCAGCCTGGACTTGGAGTTCTACCACAGAACCGGTTCAGCCCCTGAACAGATAACCAGACCTTGTAGAGTCGATCCATCGAGATGACATGATCTCCAGTAACAGACGCTTTAGTTAAGCCAACGAAAAGAGCTGCAACTATCTGAAGCATCTGTGATGTCAGACTTGTACGTACTCGCTTTATTAAACAACTAATTTAATCAATGAAATAATCCCTCTGCTCTAAATATGTAAAAACTCAGTATTCTGGTGCTTTCTTCTGATTGTGGATTAGACAAGATTAAAAAGTTAAATGGATCCTGATAGAAATGACTTTAACCGTCTTTATTGAACTAATCAGCTGCTTTAAAACAGAAACAGTGAGTTGAAACTGACATCATTTAATAAAATCATTCCCATTCCACGCAGTCTGCCAATAACTATTAAAATTACTAGTACTAACTGTTAAGAATTTCTAATAACTGCTAAGAAATGTTAATTGTTGCTATTAACTACTAATAACGGCCAATAACTGTTAATATTTGCTAATTGCTGTTGCTACCTTTTGCTAATAGCTGCTAATAACAGCTGATGACCACTTAGTAATGCTAATAGCTGAGAGAGGTAATGGTCATTATAATGGCTCCATAATCCTGCGTGATCTTGTCCTTCGCCATACAGAGAGCGCCGACCCGATGGTCACTCAGGCCACGGAGCCCTTCCAGCTGCCGGGGCCCCCCCACAAACCCATCGTCACAGATGTGTCCAAGAACAGCGTCTCTTTGACCTGGCAACCCAACGCTCATGAGGGCGGAGCCGCTGTCACCTCCTACATCATCGAGGCCTTCAGGTGAGTGTCGGTAAAACGCTGATGTTTGAACGTCGGCTCCTGGGGGCCTGGGCCCCTCAGCTGCAGCTTGTTTCTGCTCCTTCCTGCATCTTAGTGATTCCAGTTGAGTGATTGGAGGGAAGCGCCTGAACGGATCATCCCAGATGATGATGGAGGAATCATTTGGCTGAACCACAGTGATCAGATGGTTCTGGGTTTATTTTGAAAACTCGCAGACGGTCATAGAAACGGGAGCAGTTGTTTAGAAAGTGAACGTTTAGTTTATCTGCTTAGATCCCCACTCAGCTGGGATCTTTCTAAAGGAGGCGGACCCTTTCTCCCAACAGCCAATCAGCAGGCAGCACGTGGCAGACTGTGGCAGACACGGTGAAGATGGAAACGCACACCATCACAGGCCTGCTGCCCAACACCGTCTACCTGTTCATCGTCCGAGCCGTCAACGCCTACGGCCTGAGCGACCCCAGCCCCATCTCCGAGCCCGTCAGGACGCAGGACGTGAGTCCCACGGGTCAGGGGGTGGACCACCGGCAGGTGCAGAGGGAGCTGGGAGAGGTGGCTGTCCAGCTCCAAGACCCCGTCATGCTCACAACCACCTCCATGCGGGTGTCCTGGACGGTAAGTGACCCCCCCAGCTTTGGTAGCTTCTGTCAGCTCCTCTACGCCCTGCGCTGACCCGGCTTCGCCTCGTCTCCAGGTGGACCGCCAGTCTCCGTACGTCCAGGGCTACCGCCTGTTCTACCGCCCCAGCGGGGGAACCTGGCTCCTTCAGGACATCAACTCTCCCTCGGAGCGCAGCACCGTCCTCAGCGGCCTGCTGAAAGGAACCGAGTACGAGATGAAGATCCGTCCGTACTTCGACGAGTTCCAGGGAAAGGACAGCCGGACGCTGCTGATCCGAACGCGAGAAGAAGGTAAGCTGCGGTTCTGAGGGAGGCTGCTATTCTACCTCCAGCTGTTATTTCCTCTTCCTTCCAAACGCTGACGGAGGATTTTATTAGTTCTGAATCTCACCGCGCTGCTGCTGATGTCTCCTAATGTGGATCAAAGACTTCTGTTTCCTCTCCCCACAGTCCCCAGCGCCCCCCCTAGAGGAGTCACAGTGGCAACAGCGAAGCTCGGCAACAGCTCCAGCATCAGCGTCAGCTGGGAGCCTCCGCCCAGCGACACGCGGAACGGCATCATCCAGGAGTACAGGGTAACCCCCCCCCCCCTCCGATCGCTGGGACCGCTCTGATCTCACAGACACGGAGCAGATCAGCCAATCACAGGCTTTTCTCTGCAGGTGTGGTGTGTGGGCAGCGGCGCCGATAACCAGACACGCTACTACATCAACAGGACGGTGGACGGAAGCACGCTGTCCACGGTGCTGAAAGGCCTCCTCCCCGCCGTGCTCTACCAGGTGGAGGTGGCGGCAGTGACCGGCGCCGGCGTCGGAGCCCGCAGTCCGCCGGTGTCTGTCCTCCTCAGTGAGTTTCCTGTGGCGGGGGGTTCTGTGGGTTCTGTTGCATGAATTATGCAATATAAAACTAAAGCCTTAAATGGTATTAAAATGTTTTCAATCAGTCTTAAAATTGTTACCACATCACAAATAAGATGTTATATTTGTAATCTACATCAAAAATTTAAATAATTAGCGCTTTCTTGCTAACAAAAGATCTACATTTAACGTATGGCTTGCTGTGAGCGTAACAATGTTGCGGCCTTAGCTTGGGGTGATGCACCGCTAACTTTTTATCTTCACTTTTCTGCACAGCTGAAACCAGAAGCAGGGAATGTAGATGAGGAATGATCGGAGTAGATCTGTTATTTGCGTGTTTTTAGTTTCAGCTCTATGGCAGGGGTCGGCAACCTGCGGCTCTTTAGCGCCCCCTTTGAGGCTCCCTGGAGCTTTTTCAAAAATTTGTGAAAATTAAGTTTGTTTGTTTGTTTTAATATGGTGTGCAGAAGGTCAAACAAACATTCATTGTTTTCAAATGATGTAAACATCTGTATGATAAATAAATTAAACATAAAGTAAACATTTCTTTCAATGAAAATTAGCATCATAGCCATAGAGATCAGTGGTCACAGCCTTTAGCAGGTTTCGGCGCGGCGCGGTGCCAGGCAGGTGGCTGCTGTAAACATAGTGTCTCAGGCCGTGGTTCCCAGAGGGAAAAAGGAAGATAGCTGATGAGAACAAAGGATTCAAAGAAGAATGGAGGAAATCTTTTGCTTTCATTACCAATGAGGAAGGATAACCTGCATGTTTGCTTTGCAATGAAAATATGTCAAATAATAAAAAGAGTCATTAGGAAAGGCCTTTCCAGGGAAGGCTGCTAAATATGCAGCCCAACACCAAGCTGGGAGAGAAAAAGTGCGATTGCAGAACTTCTAGATTAATTAGAGGAGAGCAAAGATAGATTTAAGAAGTAGATTGCATCTGCAAACTCCACTACTGCGCCTAGTTTGGTTGCAAGCATAGAAAACAATTTATAGATCCAACAGGTAGCGCTCTGATGCAGGGATGGGAACTTTCTAACATTTTTCCCCAAATCCTAAAAATCTAAATCAAATCAAGGAGCGCTGGTGACGGAGGATGTGGGATTCAGGGTCAGAGAGCTCTGCTCTGATGATGTCACTTCCTGCTTGGTTCCTCAATCAGCTCCTCCCAACAGAAACATGTCCACCATAGAAAGATTCCTTTATCCTGTTTCTATCATTTCATGCTACTATGTGACATTAGCTCCAGGATAAACATTTAATCATGAATGCTTATTATATTATATATGTAAGCCAACATGGCCCTTTCCTATCCTGGGCTAATACACTTAGGGCCTGTGTTGCCAAATGAGGCTTTTTGGGTCCAATATGGCTCTTTGAGCAGTTTGGTTTGCCGACCCTGATCTATGGAGAGTTATTCAGAATGTGAAACTTCTACTGGATCAGACAGCAATGCTTTATGTTTAAATAAACATTAGGGTAAACAAGGTGTTTCTTGTTTCTATTGTGAAGTTGGTCTTAATTTTTGATTCCAAGTGGCATTAAAAAGTAATAAAAATCCTTAATTTAACTTGCCTCATGCTGTAGGATCCCTGGGTGGTCTCTGCCGTTTATTGGAGGGCCCACTGAGAGCCAAACAAAAACGTTTCCTACGATTCCAGGGTCTAGTCGATCAGGAGTTCTGGTCCAAAACCTCCAAATTCAGACTCAGATCTTAGGTCCATCTGTTGCTCCTTTCTCAATCAGAGCGACTGTTTCAGCTGCTCCTCTGTGGTTTAGTGTTTAGAAAAGCCCCGTTTATTTAAAGCTCTGCTTCATAGACTCTGCTGCTCCCACAGAGCTGCCGGCTGAACAGCCAACGGCGCCCGGCGGCGGCGAAGAGGGCAGCGTGAGTCTGGCCGAGCAGATCACTGACGTGGTGAAGCAGCCGGCCTTCATCGCGGGCATCGGCGGCGCCTGCTGGGTCATCCTGATGGGCTTCAGCCTGTGGATCTACTGCCGCCGCAAGAAGAGGAAGGAGCTGAGCCACTACACCGCCTCCTTCGCCTACACACCAGCAGGTCAGTGTGGAGGAGTCCGGGCCGCTCGTCCCGCTCCATGTCTGCCGTCTGAGCCGACGCTTTATGAATGAACGACCCGTGGAGGAGGAGCTTAATGGGGAGCGTTGGCCCGCTTAGAGCAGCACGCTGTGCTCTGAGAGGGTTGCCAGTACCCAGTTTGATCCCCACAGACTGCCACTCTGGGTCCCTGAGCAAGACCCTTAACCCCACACTGCTCCCTGGGGACTGCACAATGGCAGCCCACTGCTCCCCATGAGGATGGGTCAAATCCCGAGAGGGAAATTCCCCATAGTGGGACGATAAAGGGATTTACATAAATAAGATGATTTTCCATTTGAACGAGTAATTTGCTCTTGAAATAAGACGCTCCAGTTGTTTTGTTCTTATTTTAAGTGTAAATTGTCTTGTTCCATTGCAAAGTGTCTCATTCACCTCCTTGGTTTGAGAAAAATCCACTTATTTTAAGAAGAAATTACTTATTTAGAATACATTTTTTCCAGTTAGGGAGATTTTCATCGACTTTACTGCAAAACCAATCGAGAAATAAGTAAAAATTTCTTAAATCGATGTTTACCTTTAATTTTAGTGGGTAAATAAGATGATTTGCCAATAAAATAATAGATAAAATTTGTAATAAGACAATCCAGCTGCTTTTCCTTATTTTTAATGTCAATTATCTTCTTCCTTTAACAAAGTGTCTCATTGAACTCGTCCATTTAGGACTGAACTGAACTTATTTAGGGTTGATTTTTTGCAGTGTTGTTAATGCTCTGCGTGTTTTACTGAGCTTCTGTTCAGGTGATGATGTCATCATGTTTTTCTCTCTGTCTTCCTGCAGTTGGTTTCCCTCATGCGGAGGCCTCGGCGCTCAGTGGGAGGTAACTCACTCTTTCTCCCCCTTTAGATTTAATCCACCCTTTCTTCCTGTGCGGTTAGACTCACTCTGTTGTTTCTGTGCAGGCCGGGGGTGCTGGGGGGGAACTACCCGTGGCTGGCAGACTCCTGGCCCACCACCAACCTGGTCCACAGCAGCAAGGAGGCCGTGAACTGTTGCCCCAGCAACCACGACAGCACTGAGCGATACTACAACGGTAGGAAGACAGCGAGCCGCTGCCTGCAGCGGGTCTGAGTCCTAACTAACTAACCCGCCCCCCTCCCTGCAGAAGCCGGCATCTCCAACTACCTGAACCAGACGGAGAAGTACAGCCTGGGAGGCTCCACCGATGGTCCCATCTACAGCACCATCGACGCCACCAGCGAGGACCTGCACAGCTTCGCCACCGCCCCCTACGCCACCGCCGCCATCATGCCCTTCTCCGCTCAGACGCAGGGAGCAGCTTTCAGTGGGGAGCAGCAGGACGAGGGCCGCTGGATCCCCCAGCCGGGCCCCTCTGGGGCCCAGTACGCCCAGCCGGACCGCTGCAGCGGTGAGACGGGAGGGGGCGCCACTCTGTCCCCCAGAGAGAAACGGGTCACCTTAGAAAGTTTAACGAGAGCAGGAAATGGAAGATGGAAAACAGCTGAGGCTCCGTTAGCTTTGATAGACAGCTAACGACCACCACAGCTTTTAATTTAGGCCTGGACTTTGACTAGACCGTTCTACCATGAAGTCCAGGGTGTCCTCTTCCCCGCAGCATGATGCTGCCACTGATATGCTTCTGTGTGAGGATGATGTGTTCAGGGGATGGAGGAAATCTTAGCGTTGCCTCTATCAGGCCGATAGGTCAGGTTTTCGGGTTTGGGATCTCTGCAGCTCCTCCAGAGCCACGGTTGGTCCACCTTCTCTGAGCTAAACAGAGAACGACTCCAACCTGCTGTTAGCTGAGCTGCAGAGACGGACAGGAAGTCGCCGCTGCTGGTCTGAATCTGCAGGTTAGCTTCAGCAGTAGATTGGTTGGTTTTATCCAACCCTCCGTCCGCCGGCGCTGCATCGTAGCCTCAGACTGACGGATCCGTCTCACCTTGTTGGTTTGATGCTGATGACCAGAACCGGCTCTGTGGGTCTGCCTTGTAGTTAGAAAAAAGTATTCAACTATTCAGCCCAGTTAAATAAACAGATCGATGGATTTCACTCAGTCGGCGCTTCATTTTGATCTTTGCAAAGATTCTATTTCCCGGTAATCAGCCCCGTTCTGATCTGGGCAGCGTTCGTTCCTCCTTCCTTACAGTAATGGAAAATAGAGTCAAAACAAATTACAGACACTTTGGATAAACAGTAAGATGGTACGAACAAACCTTGAGAAAGAATCTGGCTTGGTATAGAAAGAAGCTATGCTATAAAAACTTTTATAGTGAGTAATTAGCATAAATCAACATATGAAATAAGAGAAATCTAAATTTTCCGACGGCAGCCTCCATGCGTGGATCCTGGAGTAAAGCTGCGGCCTATGACTCAGGGAGATATATTGATGTTTGGTTGTTCTGTGCCTTGGTTTGAAGGTAAACCGAAGCAGAAGGCGATGGGGAAGGCTGTGAAGACCCCGTCTCTGACCTGGATGGAGGCCTTGCCCCCACCTCCACCCATCGGAGAGCTGGAGCAGTGCGAGCCAGACAGCCAGCTGCCGCAGGACGATGACATGGATGGCGGGTGAGGCAGACCTCAGACCTCCTCACACAGTGATGCTCTCAGCCTCGGCCAATCACTGCCGTCCTTTAGCTTGGAGGTTAAAGACAAGCGGAGCAGGAGCTCCGCCCCCTTGGCTGCTTGGCCTGTGGCCCCACAGAACAGGTTGATCTGCTCTCTAACATCGGGCTGGTCTCTCCATGCAGCTCAGAGGAGGAGTGGTGCCCCCCCCTTCCTGAGAGGACCTACCTGATGGAAGGCTGTGAAGACCAGAGGAACATCACGTCTTCTCCTGCCACCTCCTACAGCCACCGCTCCACCGCCACCCTAACCCCCTCCCCCCAGGAGGAGGCGGGAGCCCCCGGTGACCAGCAGCCATCACGGTGGGTCCACAGGCTCATTCTCTGTAGGGAGACAAGTTTTTCTGTCCCTCCAATAAAACCAGAAACAGTTCAGTTGATCGCCGCGGTCCCGACGCTGTCTGCAGGTTTAATGTCACAATCGAGGAGCAGAGCAGGAACCTTCTAGAACACAACCTTCACTGCAAAAACGAGTAAAAGATTCATTAAATTAAGTGTATTTAGCCTTAATTTGTCTAGAAAAATGAGATGATCTTCCAACAGAATGAGTCTTTTTACCCTTAAAATAAGATAATTAGAGCACATGCACTTAGAATAAGAGGCTGCAGTTGTTTTTTTCTTTTATTTAATCTAAATTATCATTTACATTATCAAAGTGTCTCACTTACCTCCTCAATTCAAGAAAAAAATGCATTAATTTTAAGAAAAAATGACTTATTTAGATTTACGTTTCTTGCAGTGTGTTTTGCTGAGTGGGGAAAAAAAATGGATCCTTTAAACGTCGATGAAGACGTTTTTCACATTTGATTGGTTCCAGTTTAAAGTATCAGAACGATAATTCATGTTTTGATTTAATCCAAAGTTTAAAATCATCAGAATTCCTTCGACCCGTTTCTTTGTTGACCCTCTTGGCTCCTCTTCTTCACACTGCAAAAAATGTCACTTTCAATAAGTCATTTTTTCTTAAAATAAGTGTATTTTGTCTTGAATTGAGGAGGAAAGTGAGACAATTTGCCAATGAAACAAGACAATTTACATTTAAAATAAGAAATAAACCATTACATTGTCTTATTTCAAGTTCATATTATCTACTTATCTTATTTTTACCTTTTCCATTGGCAGGTTTTGTTATTTACCAGCTCAATTTAAGGGGAAATACACTTAATTTAAGAAATGTTTGCTTATTTGTAAATGGTTTTTGCAGTTTAGCAGCTTTTTGGACCAGAACCACGAGCAGCTGCTCTGCTGATAAGGACAGAACATCTAAACGCTGCAGATGGAGGAAAACCCAACGACAGGCAGAACTGTGATTCGTTTGGAGCAGAGAAGCTTCCTCTGTTGGTCCCTCAGCGCTCATTCCTTTCAGATTAGATTTAGATTTTGATTCCAGAGCATCTCTGATCACATGTATCACGACCTTCATGGAGCGATTGTTCGAATCAGAGCCGGTTAGAACCGATAGAGGAGGTGTGGGATGCTGATGTAGCTCTGATTCCCCTTCCTTCCCTCAGCAGGCGCCCGCCCTGCGGCCCGGTGCCGGCGCCGCCGCTCGCCCAGTCCAGCCAGCAGAACCTCGGCCTCACAGACGCCGGCGCGCTGCAGGTCCAAAGCCCCGCCCACTGCTGCCTCCACAGCCAGGGGATGACGGGGAACGAGGAGAGAGCTTCAACGCCTGGTAAAGTCCAGCTCCTGGCGGCGCCGACACGCAGCGCGCCTCCTTTCTGATGGTTAACTGATGTCACGTTTCTGCCGCAGTGCACAGCCACTCGTCTCCAGCAGAGACCTGCACTCCTCCCAACCAGAAGTCCAGAGTGAAGAAGAAGGTGACCAAGACGTCGGCGTACAGGAGGGAGCTGCAAGGAGGTAACACCCAGAGGGAGGGGGGGAGTTCACAGGAAGGAGGAAACCTCAGATGTTGGACGCCCTGTGACGTCAGCAGATGGTTTTCTAACTGAACGGTTCGTCTCCTTTGTGGTTTAGACCTCCCCCCGCCCCCGGAGCCCCCCCCTGAGGAGTCCAGCAGCCTGCCGACCAGCAGCCGCTCCTCCCTGGAGAGGAGCGAATACAGCAGCCAGCGGAACCGATCAGGACCAAATCACGGCGACAGTAAGCAGCAGCCCCGCCCACTGGCCGCTCCAAGGTTTGGCTCCGTCTCATTCTGTTCTCTCCCTCCTCTTCCTCACCAGATGAAGAGGTGGCGGCCTACAGCAGTCGCAGCGGCTACCTGTCCAGGAGTAACTGCTCCACCACGGGAAGCTCCTCCTCCAGAGGCTCCAGCGGCTCCCGGGGCCTCGCCCCCCCCAGGAAACACAGCGAGGTAGGGAGCGTCACGCCTCACAGCGTCTCTCCCTCCTGTTGGAAAGAAAAAAAAAACGGTTTGAAAATCAAATCTGTCTCGATGGAGGTGTTAAACTCAGATCCACCTTCTCCTCAGTCCGCTCTGCAATAACATAACAGGCGGCCATCTTGGGTCAGACCACAGACAGCTGCTGTCAAAATGAACAGGAGGCGCCTCAGATCTCATTTTACTCACATGAAAGACGAGTCAAAGATAATATTACAATAATCTCTTTCATGTTACAACCAGTTAAAAAAAAAAAAAAGACTTTTTAAAATGAGCTTTCAGGTCGATTACACAGAATAATTCACATTAAAAAACTATTTAAACTGAACTCACTGGATGAGGTTTATGCAAAGTTATATATTTTGCAAATACAAATTAATATGATAAACACAAAGTTTTATACTTATATATTTTCACATTACATTTACAATATATAAATATATATATATATATTTATTTATTTATTTTGATGTAATATGATCTATAATTGAACTGTAATGGTCTCAGAAGGAGAAATTCCCTCTCTGCATTTAACCCATCTCCTTGGGGAGCGGTGGCTGCCATTGTGCGGCGCCGGGGGAGCAGAGTGGGGTTAAGGGTTTTGCTCATAGACCCAGAGTACAGGCTGTGGGGATATAACCAGATACTGGCAACCTTCTGAGAGCACAAGCTGCTCTAAACGGGCCAGCACTGCCACCATTCTGTTCTATAAACTAGTGTTAGCCTCAGTTGATGGGTATTGACTCTGACAGCAATTTGGTCCTTGACTTAAGATGGCGGCTCTATCAGCACGCCTCTTACCCAATGACACGGGGTCTATCTGTGTCTATTTCTCTAACAATGACCCCCACCCCCCCATGGACCTGAAAACACATTTCTCTGCAGCTAAGAGATCAGGTTCCCTCTTCCACAGGGAGTCTTTCTGCCTGTTCGCTCCTGACCTTTGACCCAGTCTGCTGATGGCTGACCCCCCACACTGGTCACTGGAAGCAGTTTTTCACTGACTGGGAACCAATCCTGTTGGACATTTGAAGCCGTCATCAAAGTCAGGCTGGTTAAGTCTCAGTCCTCCGTTGTCATGGAAACAGCCCTGAACAAAACTGAAAGGCAACTTTATAAATTATTTCAACTGACTATACGGAATACAGAAAATATAGGAAACAAACAGTCACCCATCCATCAGAGTCAAAGAGGCTGGTTCTAGTTCTGCAGGAGGTTTCTTCCTGTTTTTCCTCTCCACTGTCACTACCAGCATGCTTAGTGTGAGGGATTGCTGAAGAGTCAATGAGGCGATGCAATCAACTGGTTTTCCTTAGATAGAAAACTTTGAATCAATCTGGATGATCTGGTGAAAGTGACCTGAGATGACATGATGTGAATTGGCTCTATAGAAATAAACTGAATAGATTTGGAGATGCTGCAGTTTTTAAAGCTGTGTCTCAAATTGAGTTTGTGATTCATTACTAAAAAAACTTAAACACTGTTTTTTTATCTGTTTCAGGAAATGAGATAAGGAGCCCCATCAGCCCCCCCCATCCTCTGACGGCGAGGAGAAGCTCGCCGTGTTCAACAAGCTACACTTACTGCTGTGAAAGAAGAATAACTGACCTTTGCTATTAGAGTTATTTATGAGTTGCAGTTCACTCACCCTGCTTACTTTGTAAATACCTGTCTGTACTGTTCTGTTGTGAGCTCTGGATACAGGGAGAGAGACCTATATTGTATTTATGATGATCAAAAAAAACAAAACTCAAAGGATAAAAAACGTCTGTTATAATGGAAAATGTCTTCTTGAATGTGCCAACTCTTTGTCGCCATGTAAACCTTTAGGGAAAGCATTAACTACTGTTGCACAGAACAACAGAAACTAAGAAGCACAAAGTTTGTTTGCTGGTTGAGGAGAGGTGGAAAAGCCAAAAACATCCCTGAGGGATGCCCTGCGTCACGGCGTCCGTCCAGTGTCCTTCGTCTGGTTCCTCTGCAGCCTTCGCTGGCTGACTGACAGGCTTTATGAAAGTTTGATTGTACCCCCCCTCCCCCTTTATACAGCTGAGAGACTGTTTGCTGCAGTTCTGAAAATAATTTTTCATAAACTCCTTTGAAAACAAAAAAAAATGTCTGTTCGCTGACTTTTTGTACTCTTGTTGTTTTGTAAATGTACAATAAATCTACATTTGCTGATGATGGTCTGTGTTATTCTTTGAGCCACGATGCAAAAACCATCTAGAAATAACTAACAATTTCTTAAATTAAGTGTAATTATCAGTAATTTAAGCAGATACAGTAGCAGCCATTCAAAATGGACCTTCCCAGTCAGCCGGATAGCAGCCCCCTTCCCTGCAAATCCCAGCAAAATCCCCTCCAGCTTCCAGCCACTGGTCTTTTCCTGGTCATGCATATTTTTTTACTCTGACTCCACTCTTTCACTAAATTACAGGGTCTGGCCAGGAGATGATGCTTCCCTTTAGATCTTAATGTCCACAAATCATGACAGAAAGAATATTTTAGTACAAAGATTGATGTTTAAAAAGGAATTGTAGGGGACCAACCAAGGATGAGCCAAAGACCAGACAACCAACGAAGGACCAACCAAAGACCAGACAAGGACCAACCGAAGACCAGACAAGGACCAACCAAGGACCAGCCAAGAACCAGCCAAGGACCAACCAAGGACCAGCCAAGAACCAGCCAAGGACCAACCAAGGACCAACCAAAGACCAGACAAGGACCAATCGAAGACCAGACAAGGACCAACCAAGGACCAGACAAGGACCAACCAAGGACCAGCCAAAGACCAGCCAAGGACTAGACAAAGACCAACCAAGGACCAACCAAGGACCAGCCAATGACTAGACAAGGACCAGACAATGACCAACCAATGACTAGACAAGGACCAACCAAGGACCAGACAAGGACCAACCAAAGACCAGACAAGGACCACCCAAGGACCAGACAAGGACCAACCAAGGACCAGACAAGGACCAGACAAGGACCAACCAAGGACCAGACAAGGACCAACCAAGGACCAGACAAGGACCAACCAAGGACCAGACAAGGACCAACCAAAGACCAGACAAGGACCAACCAAGGACCAGACAAGGACCAACCAAGGACCACACAAGGACCAACCAAAGACCAGACAAGGACCAGACAAGGACCAACCAAGGACCAGACAAGGACCAACCAAAGACCACACAAGGACCAACCAAAGACCAGACAAGGACCAACCAAGGACCAAACAAGGACCAGACAAGTACCAACCAAGGACCAGACAAGGACCAACCAAGGACCACACAAGTACCAACCAAGGACCAGACAAGGACCAACCAAGGACCAGACAAAGACCAACCAAGGACCACACAAGGACCAACCAAGGACCAGACAAGGACCAACCAAAGACCACACAAGGACCAACCAAAGACCAGACAAGGACCAACCAAGGACCAAACAAGGACCAGACAAGTACCAACCAAGGACCAGACAAGGACCAACCAAGGACCAGACAAAGACCAACCAAGGACCACACAAGGACCAACCAAGGACCAGACAAAGACCAGACAAGGACCAAACAAGGACCAGACAAGTACCAACCAAGGACCAGACAAAGACCAAACAAGGACCAGACAAAGACCAACCAAGGACCCATCAAGGAAAGTGAACGTCTACTACTGAATGACAATTTGCAGATGAACTAAGAATTACACTTAAAATATAAAAAAAAACAACTCTATTATCTCTATTTCAAGTGCTTAATTTGTAATAATCTTATTTTAAGGTTAAAAACCTTCATTCCACTGACAAATGATCTTATTTTCCAGCTCAGATTAGAGACAAATACAGTTTTTTCAGAAAATCATTATTTGTAGTCTAAGATTTCAATTAACACAAAAATTGAAAATACAACTTCATCTACACGCCCCACTTTAACTGAAAAGAACTTTATTAAAGTTATTTTAATGAATTATGATCATTTGGCCTTATGAAAGGTTTAAGGGACAAAAGGTAACCTGTCTGCTGTAGTTTCCAGTAGATGTCATCACGGAGTCCCTGACAGGAACTATTACAGCAAGTCAATATTTACATCTATGATATGGTTTAAACTATTTTCTTTTTCTAATTTAATGAAAGAGTTGCGTTTTTTAATTGTTAATATTCTTGTTAAGTTACCTGGACAGTTAGCTGGCCCTTCACCAGGACAACGCTCTATGGAGGCGGAGCTACACGTCTGATGGAGCGAAATTACAAAAATTTAACCTCTGGGATTGATGGGCTTTTAAATTCATAAATGCTATTTTGGGCCAAAGAGAAAAAAACCCAAAACGATTTCAATAGAGAACAGAGTGGAAAAGGGCAGGTGCTCTAGTGCCACCTAGAGGATATCTGTGCACGTCCCTGTTTGGAGGAAACAGGATTTAAAAGTTTGATTCGTTTAACCAAGAACTGCATCAGAAACAAACTCAATTTGTTCTTAATCAGTTTTCAGTACTGATGTGGATCGACTGAAGCCCATCATAAACTAACCAGAACTCGCCACAGATCAGTGCCCAGGTAGAGGAAACCCTGATTGGCTGACGCTCAGCCACCTGATTCAGCCACACCTGTATCTACGTCTCCTCTCTGCTCCCATAAAATCAAACAACCTCAACATTAACACCAGGATATTACCTTCAAATTCTGATTTGCTGAATGTGACTAAAGGGGAAAGAATCTTTTTAACAAACATGGAAAAATTTCTCTTTGCTTATTAGGAAAATGATCATCTAAATTCAGTTTCTCTTCTACAAATCAGATCAAAGAATGTAGAGCAGGTAAAATAACTACTGAACATTTTTAGTTGATGTGAAATGTTAATCATTTCCAGAAAGTGGCCGCAGCTTATTGAGTAAACTTATTTGGCTTTGTGATATTCAGGTTTTTCAGTTTCAGAGCAGATGATATGAATCAGTGGAGCTTCAGGGTGAGCGCAGCATCATAAGAAGAACCACGTGCAGAAAGCATGAACCACCATGGCAACAGGAAGAAATGAAAAACCTGCACTTCTCTCCTGTACAACTTCAAATAATAATAAAAGAACATTAAGATTATCGAAAAATATTAAACACAAAAAGCAATATTGTTCCTGCTTTAACACACTGAGAATCAGTTGATGTTTACCTTCCTGGATAAATGTCACTGCATCTGGTGACCCTAAACGTTCAGCCAGCAGAAACAAGAAAAAGCTGTTATATCGAACACTTTGTTTGTGGAATTACAATTTAGAATAAATTCAATTACAGGTCATTTCTATTTCAGGGGCTGCAGCTGCGTTTCTTCATGACAACTTTCTTATTATCTAGGTTTCTCATTCTCATCATAACCATTAACACAGTATTAGTTTTCATTGTCCTTAAAAATCATTAATTGAATGTCAAAGAAACAAAGTTTTCATAGAAACGTTCCCTCATAAAGTTTGTGGCTTTTATTTCCTCTTTACATCTATTTATGTAGATATATATTAACAGATTTGTGAGTTTCATTCATTCAGGCCTCAAGCTGCAAGGCTACACAGTGTCTAAGTGAGAGGGGGTGTTTATTTTATTAGTGATAAAAAGAAAACTTCTAATACTTTAAAACTTTCCTTTTTGATAAAGCTTCTAGTTAGAGTGGCTCAGGTTATCCTGAGCTATCTCTATAGTTATGCTGCTATAGGCTTAGACTGCTGGAGGACATAGGGACCCCTTTTTCATCATTCTGCTTCATTCTATCTCTATTCTAACGAGCCTTTACAGTTGTCTTTTGTATCTATGCTTCTTTTTCTATGTCTGCTTCGCCAATTCACAACATATCATCCAGTCAGATTGATTCAAAGTTTTCTATCTAAGGAAAACCAGCTGATTGCATCGACTCATTGACTCTTCAGCAATCCCTCACACTAAGCATGCTTGTAGGGACAGTGGAGAGGAAAAACTCCCTTTGAACAGGAAGAAACCTCCAGCAGAACCAGGCTCAGTGTGAGCGGCCATCTGCTGAGGCCCACTGGGGTTCAAGGAGACAGAAGCAGACATAGAAAAAGAAGCATAGATACAAAAGGCAATTCAATTCAATTCAGTTTATTTATATAGCGCCAAATTCACAACACATGTCATCTCAAGGCACTTTACAGTTCAACCAGATCATACAGTCAAATTGATACAAAGTTTTCTATCTAAGGAAAACCCGTTGATTGCATTGACTCATTGACTCAAATACAATCCCCCACACTAAGCATGCTTGTAGCGACAGTGGAGAGGAAAAACTCCCTTTTAACAGGAAGAAACCTCCAGCAGAACCAGGCTCAGTGTGAGCGGCCATCTGCTGAGGCCGACTGGGGTTCAAGGAGACAGAAGCAGACATAGAAAAAGAAGCATAGATACAAAAGGCAACTGTCAACCAGCTCCACAGGCGGCCCCGTCCAGGAAACACACAGCCAGGCAGACGAGCTCCAAGGCAGCTCCCATGCCAGAGGACGAAGAGAGCACATCCACTCAGTCACGGTCAGAGAAACAGGACTACACTGGAAAACAGGCCGATCTCCAACATCTAGAAACAAAGGTGTTGATAGAAGCAGCACAGCTGATGTTTCTTTCCAGGATGACGTCACAGCAACTGTCAACCAGCTCCACAGGCGGCCCCGTCCAGGAAACACACAGCCAGGCAGACGAGCTCCGAGCCAGCTCCCATGTCAGAGGATGAAGAGAGCACATCCAGTTAGTCACAGTCAGAGAAACAGGACTACACTGGAAAACAGGCCAAGCTCCAACATCTAGAAACAAAGGTGTTGATGGCAGCAGCACAGATTCTGCAGAGTGGGAGAATAGAGATAGAATGAAGCAGAATGATGAAAAAGGGGTCCCTATGTCCTCCAGCAGTCTAAGCCTATAGCAGCAGAACTATAGAGATAGCTCAGGATAACCTGAGCCACTCTAACTAGAAGCTTTATCAAAAAGGAAAGTTTTAAGCCTAGCCTTAAAAGTAGACAGGGTGTCTGCCTCACGGACTAAAACTGGTAGTTGGTTCCACAGGAGAGGAGCCTGATAACTAAAAGATCTGCCTCCCATTCTACTTTTAGAAATTCTAGGAACCACTAGTAAACCTGCAGATTGAGAGCGAAGTGCTCTGTTAGGAACATAAGGAACAATCAGATCTCTGATATCAGATGGAGCTTG